GCATGTCCGCCGATAATTGTCCTTCCGTGGAGATGACCCGCTGAGATAACTGTCCATAGTTGTAACTGATTTTCCGTTGCTGCCAGCCAACCAACTCTTTTCTCCAAGAATTTGATTTTCCCATTAGGATTTTATTGGAAAATCGCGTGCTACTAATGGGAAAAAGTATATTTTTCATATGCCAATCGCTGAATCCCCACATTTTTCCCACTTTCACAGACCTTAACGGAATTATCTAGGCAAAACAAATTAAGAGTAAAATAAAATGAAATGGTTGGCTATAATGCAAATATAAATGCAAAAAAATGATATTTAATTATGGCTGTAGCCCTTCCATTTGGACTTTGCAGACACAGCCAACTTTTCCATTTTCCTCCATTTTGAATAAATTTGCATTTCACTTGAGTCAGCGCGGCAATAAAAAGCGCGCAGCAACAGCAAGAACAACAACAGTAATAAGAGGCAATTGAAAACTTTTGCATAAGTCGCAAGCGACCTAAGTGAGTTAAAACCGAAGTGGAAGTTGCTTAACGTCTTTCTTAAAGGCGGCGAAGCTGTGCTGTGTTGCGAAGCTAAGGACTACCAAAAATAGCCGACAGAAATCAGAAATCATCTGAAAATATTTATATATGTTTAACATGGAAGAGGTATTACAAACGATATCCCAATTTTTATTAAATAAGAGTTTCTACCAGTTACCTAAAAAATGTGCGACTTTAATTTAAATTATATATTACCTATATTTATAAAGGTCTATTGGCTGGTTAAAAATTTTCAGATTACTAACTATAATTAACTCCACAATTTTCTGTATTATTTTATACATTTTTTTGCTGCTATGATAACTTTAAAATTATATTTTGTGCTTCTTTTTAAAAAATTATTATTTTATAGGTTTCAAATTGTATTTTCTAAATATTTTTTAAAATGTAGCAACATTTGGCTTGAAACAAGCTTGGCTTGCAGCACGAGTTATAAGACTTTGAGAGATGCTTCTTCTCAGTTCCCTGAAGGAGTCATTCGGGGACCCAAAATAAGCCAAGGCCGTGCAGAACCAAGACGGTTAAGAAAATTTAAGTTTAATTTGTTTTCGCAAGCCTAATTATGAGCTATGATCACTTCACAAATGGAATTTTTCCCCAATGAGAACGAGAAAATCATTGTTGGGAAAAGTTTGCAAGTTTATAGGAGATGTATTTTAACATCTGCAGAGCACTGAATTAGAAAGATACTTATCCGTAGAACGCGGATTAAACGCTATTAAAACGCTAAATAATCAAACAATGGAAATGCAACTACAGGAAAGAGAGGGAGATAATCAAACTCCTTCCCCAAACTCCTTCCACTGTATTTTGAATTACTTTGAGCACTTTGCTTTTGTTGAACCCTTGCTGATAACTTGTTTGTTTATTTGTTTGCGTTTCGACAACAGCGAAACTTCACCCACTTTGGAAGGGATGGGAATGTGATGCTGATGATGAGGCTGCGAACACCTTGCGGCTAACAAGTGTACATCTCCCAGAGCTTCCTATTCCACGAGAATCCAAACCAGCCCAGTCCAACCCAATCAACCCGCCATTCATTGTCAACCGGCTTTTTCAGCCAACACAATCAAGTGGCGTTTTCACCGGCATACCCTTCCAAGGGTTAAAGAGCCGGAAAGCAAAGGGTAATTATTTATTCAGGATATTGAATGAATTAATAAATACTCAGTTCAATACTTAAATATTATTCACAATTTTTATCATATACATTAAACTCTTTTTTTTTAATTTTTAATAAAAAGATTGAAATCTATTTCATTTGTATTGGCCTTAAACAAGTAATTACCCCGGTTTAAATTTAATGAGATACAAAAATTAACAGGAAAAACGGTTAATTAGCTTACAAAAATGTTTACAAATGTTAGCAACAACGAATTACATCCTAACTAGAATTATTAATATAAAAGGTATTTTTAAAAGACATAGAATATTGCGAATTCGGTGTCATTACCTTTTGCCCACCGACTCCTTTCCATTTCGGTTGCATTTCAATTCGTTTTGTATTTTCGATTTTAAATGAAAGCGGCGGCAGAATGTCGCTGGCGAATGCAAGTCACGGCTGACAATGGCACCACCCAACCGCTGAACCGTCGAAACGCCGAACCACCCAACCACCCAGGTCGCGATTCCAAGGGAATGTGCAGGTGTGCTGCTGAAAAACATGCTAAACCATCCGGCTGACGTTAAGCGATTTTCGAATGAATTCAAATTCGCCATTGTTGTTGGCCCGAATCGTTTACCTTTTGCGGCACAAAAAGGATGCGCAGCGGTGGGTGTGGCGAATGCGAGTGTGTGCAAACAATTTGGCGGATTAAATGAGTCCCAAATGAGACGTTTTTATGCCCGACACACTTTATGCAACATCATAAAGTCCACCGCGGACTTAGCCCGGTATTACGCTGTTTTCCAAAGCCGTTGCTTAATGTAACTGAACAAGAAGTGGGTACTTTTAAACCAATCCCCAGCAATCCACAGCCCATTCCATTCCCCAGCCGAGTGATGTCAAAAATTAAGTTATTTCTTTTCAATATTGAATTTATCAGGGCGACATGAGACGTCGGCATACGTGTCCGGAATAGATATGCCGCAGATACAAATGGCAGCGGTCCAACCGAAACCCGATGCGGGGCATTAAAAGTGTCGCTTGTATTTAAATATCCAATTGTCTCACGGACGAGGATGTGAAACATTTAAAAATGCGCTTGAGCTTGGAGAATACGAATCCCCCCGTCAAAGATCCCAGCATCCGAGCCAAATTCGGTTATCCAATTGGTTTGTTGCCTAGTAAATGACACCCGATGGTCTTTGAATTTTAAAATACGGAATCCAAGGTGTATTCCAGGACGTGTCTCCACTTTGGAAATATTTTCTTTTATTTTTGGCTAGGGTGGATTTGGTTTGGGTTTCAGCTCCCCAGCCCCGTGTCCTTTTTCCATTATATCGGCCTTCCACCGAATTTCACCCACAAATGGGTGCGATTGTTATTTACATTCTTTTGGGCTGCATTTGCTTTTATGTGGTGGCAATTTATTCAAATTGAGACATTAGACAAATTAAATTTACACGTATCTCCCATGATTGTTACCGCCTGTATATTCGCTTAATTATGACATTATTCAAAATACGAAATTTACATTTTGTTGTAGAAATAAACATTTACGGCTATTCCTCTGGCATATGAATAAAATCCAATTTAATATCATCGTATTCGGAAACAATATGCTAAACAGTTTTACAAGCCATGAGAATGTGACTGAAAGAAGTATTCTGTAGCTTATTAGATTTTATGTTCCTGGGCGTATCGATACCAATATTATAAATATAACTCTTTTAGTATGCACCAAAATCGACAATAAAAAATGCATTGGTAAAAGCACTTAAATTAATAATTATGTGAAATTTTTAATTAAGTGTTTCAGTTGTTTTGTAAGTAATTTTTATCCACCCAAAAAGTATGCTTTGCTTTTCTGTATTTCTATTTTTTTAGTAACTCAGAATATTTTGTTATATTCAGCTTTAATTTTGTATTTTCGGCTTTTCCCCTTTAAATTCATATAATTAATCAACTAAATCTTCAGTGCTGTTAAAATTGGAAGTGACAGCTGCAATGGACGATATCCGCACTTTGCGATTCGACATTCAGTGGGATGTTTTCGAGGGAATGCAAATAGTTGACATCAACTCAAAGCATGTATAGTGCAAGTAAAGTAGAAGGCGAGCGCCTAATTGTATAATATTTTTAGGTACTACGACATGGTGATCGAGTTCATGTGGTCTCAATCGTTTCTGAAAAGCCTGGTCTACGAGAGTCTGGGACTGTTCGATCTGCCGGACATGAAGGAGACATATTCTAAGTAAAAATTCAAGATCATTAAAAAAAATCTATATACATGATATATTTTTTGATTAACAAAAATATTATTATATTTTAATTCATTGGCTTAATCCTAATATAATTTGTTATTTAAGATATGTGCGGCACATTCTGCGAAACGAGTGTTCGGTGATGATGATCAGTGAGGACGAGACGCAGATAAAGGCAGTGGGCCTGCTCGAATGGATGACGGAGGAGTGGCACTCCTGGTATGGCTACTCAACCCCTTCCAAACTTCCCCAACTAACAGACTTGTGTCTCGCAGGGTTTTCTTTCCCTCCTCGATGCCCCGGAATCTCTTCCAGCAGATCATAATGATGAAGAAGAAGCTTATCGATGCTACCAAAAAGAACCTTGGCATGACCACCTACGACTCGCTAGTGGTCCATGAGATTGCCTTTCCGGACGAGCTGTACTTCAACCGGGACTTCCTGATGACCATTTTCGACGTCTTCGGCTATGTGGCCCAGCACATGCACATGCCGCGGGTGAGCTTCATCGCCCTAAGCTCCGTGGACCAGGAGGCCACTAGTCTGATCGAGTACGACGAGATCGGGCGGACCATCTACTCGATCTACAAGGTGGGCAATACGCGGCCCTTCGATATCCTGCGCGAACTGGACGAGATGTACGCGCTGCTCTACGAACTGCCCGTCAGTCCAATTCTGAAGTACGTCGAAATGCCCGGATTCGAGGAGTTTCACGAGGCCTTGGATGCCAAAATGGCCAAGGAGGCTGCCGAAAAGCGACACGACGACGAGTTTTGAGCTGCTACTTCTTTGTCTTTATATTTTTTGAATACATGTGTGCCTACTTTCGGGCTTAGCCCTCGGAATTTCCTCAGCCTCCCTTCTACAAGTAGTTAATTGCGATTTTTTTTAGAGGGGTGGAAAGAGGGCACGTTTACAAGCGGTCGTTGATAAGGGTATCAATATGGGGATCGTATTGCTATTGCGATAATAATAATAACACCTTATGCCTACACAGTGAAAAGTGATGCCAAACAAGTAAAAGGTTCATATTATTTCAACTATATTAGTTTACATATACATTTGTGAGCCAAAAATGCAACATTTGTAATATCAGGTGGTCTATATTGGCGATCTATATTTTACAGCATTTTTTACATTTATTTTACATTTTTTTTGGGACTTACAACTTGGAACCGTTCTTGGCGGCCAGCAGGATATCGAGGACATCGTCGGCACAGCCCCAGCACAAGGTGACCCCGCTGCCGCCGTGACCATAGTTGTGGATAAGGAGCTTCCGGCCACGGCGCTCCGCCTCCAGTCGCAGTTGGGTGCGACCTGGCCGAAGACCCACCCAGTCGAAAAGGCTTTCCGAGTGCTCCAGACCAGGAATATACCGGCGACAGCCTTCCACTATCAACTGCCTGTCCTTGGGGCAAACTTGAGTGTTGTAGTCCCGCTCCTGATGGGTTCCGCCCAGGACAACGGTCTCAGTGCTACGATTTTGATGGTTTAGCAGTGCCATTTAGTTGCCTTTAAAGGGGGTAACCCCTTACTCACTTGGGTATAATGTAGTTGCCATCGTCGCTTTCGTCCAGAACGGCCGAGAAAATCCAGTTTGCCCTCACCCGGGACACTTGTCCACGCACCGCGTACATGTGGTCGTCGTTGAGAAGAGTTCGGGAGCCCAGGCCGGAGCAGTTGACGATCACATCGTAATCGGAGTCGGCGACAAATGCCTCCAGGTCTGTTATCCTCTTCTGAACAACTATTCCTCCGTTGCGGGCGAAACGCTTCATCAAATACGGAAGCAGTTTAATGGGCTCCGAGGTGTAGGTAACGAAGGATAGGCCTGACCTGGAAATAGTGAATCAGTTTTAATCAATTATAAGCTTAGACTAGCCAGGAAATAATATGAACTATAGGGTTTAGCAACTGCTACCAAAATGTAACAAATAAGTAATATTAAGTATATTGAGTATATTAAGTAATATTATTGAAGTATTTTTAAATAAAATAATTGTAGTATGTGTTTAATATATATCAGAAAAATTAAAGGTATAGCTATTCTTCAAATTATAAAAAATCATAAAGACGTTATTTAAAATAAATTAAATTAAATAAACTCTAATCCTTACGTAAACTTAACGCTGCGTCCTTTATTGTAGGCAGCGAGTTGTTCCTGAGACAGATCCTCGGCTCCATAGACAATGTCGCGCCAGAAATCCTCAACGGTGTCCACCGTGGAGGTGTTCAGCCGAATGCAGGGCAGCAGACACACACCAGCCTCTCCGGCATCTCCACTTAGCCAGATCTCCTCCAGAAATTTGTGCATACTTTTCGACCATTTGCTGCTCAAAAAATATATTTTATGGAAATACGAAATCAAGAATTCGAAGTACTTACTAGACTTTCGATTGCGAAGTGCCGCCCAGTAGATAGGGACCCCAGAGTCCCGCCGATCCATCGCCTGTGGTGTTGGGCGTGAAGTCCTCCGATATAATCGTCACCCTTATCGGTGACTTTGCCTCTCTTTTGTAGTGTTCCAATATCTTAATGGCACTGGACACACCATTCACCCCGGCCCCGATTACTGCAATGTTCATCATTGCTGCGATCCGATTAGCTTGGCAACTCAAAGCAAACTAAAAACTCTTATCAGGCTTCTAAGCAGATCTGAGAGCTATTAACTCGCAGTAGCTGATAACAAAGCTTTCGGCAACAAAGAGGAAGCTTCTTGGCTGTTTGCATCGGAATTATAAAGATTAGAATGGGAAAAGTGCATTTAAATGGAATGGAATTAATTTTATTTTTAGAAAGTGATCCTTAATATAATAAGCCATTCTATAAAGAAAGGTTATGTTTTGTAACTGATAATATTTTGTAAAGTCTAGTAGGCTGGAGATTTAACAAGCTGGCCTTGCGTATCCGCTCAAACGGAACCGAATATGGACTAGGATATGGGAAGCAATCCCCATTCGATTTCTAGCCCTCGGACCCTTCGTTTCGGCCTGCTTCTAAATTTCCAAAATTCCAAATTTTCTTTCGAAAATAGTTTAGCCAAAATAAAGTAAGTTAGGGGTAGCATATAGGGTACACATATTTTTAATCCCTTCGTCCTGCTGCAGCGCTCGACGGGCTCAACATGTGTGACGGATGTGGATCATTGGAGGTGAGTAGCTTGGATCCTCCTATAACCATCTGACCTCCAATGCAATCCAATCACCTTTCAGCCGCGTGGATGCCGCAGTCGGGAGCTGCGCTGCGGCATCATGTACACCACCTGTGACTGCGTGAAGCGGAATGGCCTGCAGGACAAGTGTCCGCGGTCCGCCTGCCAGGGCAGACCGGCCTGCCTGTGCTTCCCGTTCCCCACCTGCGGTCCGGCGGCCTTTCCCCTGCGCTACGCCAACATGACGATGGGCGTGAACAACAAGCGGATGCGCTGTGCGGCTACCGGAGCTCCGAACGGCGGTGCCTGTGGCGGTCGTGCTGCCGGCGGCTGCTGTGGCTGCTGTAATGGAACTCAAACGCCCTGCTGTGGCCCCCACAGTCTGCCCCGCGTGTCTGGAATTACTGTAACTCACCTGTGACGTACCCATGTAAGTCCGGTCCAGGTCTCTGTCCGTATCTCCAGTCCTTGTCCGTCCATATGTCCGCTTGTCCGTCCGTTGGGGAATCGTAAAGTGGCGACTGTGCGGGCCACACATCGCGAGTGGAAGAATAACACCCTTGGTGACGCTTTATGTCCTCCTGCAGAAGCTTAATGCCCACAGCGCTGATCCGTCCACAAGGATAGCATGCCCCGAGTCGGGATCAAAGCGAAGCCAGGCTCCAAGTCCATGACTGACCCCCAACCCTCCACATTCCGTCGCGTGTAAGTAGCTGTGACATCTGCCCCATTCACTACCCATTGCCTATCTCATCCTGCAGGTGGTTTCTAAGTAGTTCCTGGCAAGTGATGCGATCGGATCCTCACGGGACATGTTGTGTGGCGCTCTTTTGGTTGATCATAAACTGAAGGTGGCTTAAATCAAGATGGAGCTCGGAGCGCGAAAACCCGGAACCATCGAATGGCTGGAAACATGTGGCGCAACAGTGTAAAATACGTTCGTCTGTCTTGATTTAAGCGCAAAATCATTTGTAGGTTTTTGGAATTTTCTTCGGCAATAAATTATAAATTGTAAAATAAAATAAACATATTTTGTGATTTTCTGTTAGCTGGTGGCCCAGCAAAAAGGACACTTCGTAAAGATTTAAAATAAATATATCTTTGTTGAATTTTTATTAATGGCTATCGTTTAAAATTAAATTTGGGTTGAAATACACTTTCAAATTTGATTATGACGTCAAATATTACATTGGGAAAGAAAATAAAAGACCTGGGTGGTTGATCAAAAGGATTTTCAGCAGGGAGAATTACCAGAACAATTTCTTTATATAGATGTTTATAAATGTAATCGCGAGTTGGACTTCACGTGCGGAAAGTTCAAATGAGTTTTGGATCGTTGATGTAGAAAATTGTGGCTGTTCTTCATGTGACTAAAATCAATGAAAAACAAGAAAGGAAGCTAGCTTCGGCAAGCCGAAGCTTATATACCCTTGCAGATCATTCTATTAATTTACAAATCGCAAAAATGTTAAATTTCTTATTATTTCACATTAAATTTTCGATCGTTTCTATCACAACTATATGATATAGTAGTTCGATCTTTTAAAAATTAAAATCGAAATTCGGAAATATTTCAAAATAGTCATATCCCAGACTAGAAGGGAATGTAATAAAAACCAACAAAGATATAATTTTTTTCCCATTAATTTCCATTTAATTTTTCGACCGTTCCTATGGCAGCTATATGATATAGTTTTCCGATTTAAAAAACAAAAAAACCGAAATTCAGAAATATATAAAAAAAAATATTCCCAAGAGTAGAAGGTAATATTTCAAAAAACATCGGAGCTATAATTTTTTTTCCGTTTTTTTCCGTTTTTTTTTCGATCCTTCCTATGGGAGCTATAAGATATAGTTGTCCGATCTGGTTGGTTCCGACATATATACTACCTGCAATAGAAATACGACTTTTACGAAAGTTTCGTCCCGATAGCTCAAAAACTGAGAGACTAGTTTGCGTAGAAACAGACAGACGGACAGACGGACAGACGGACAGACGGACAGACGGACAGACGGACATGGCTAGATCGACTCGTCTAGTGATGCTGATCAAGAATATATATACTTTATGGGGTCGGAAACGTCTCCTTCACTGCGTTGCAAACTTCTGACTGAAATCATAATACCCTCTGCAAGGGTATAATGAAAACTGGTTATTTTACTTATTTCATATGGTTGCATATTATTATATTCATTACAGTGCATTGACCATTTAATGGTTTAAATGGTTAAAATATAATGGTAGGTAAGGGAAATGCAATTGTTCCCTCGCGAGAGTTTTGCTTTTTGGCCTAATAAAAGTAGGCCAAGAGATTCCATAAAGTTGGCCATGACTTTCAGAGGAAATCGAACCGAAAACGTCAAACGCATGCTCTAGGCCCGGTGAGAAGCTAGCCTCATTCGATATCAAACCCTCGGACCAGTCGTTTCGGCTTCTAAATTTATCAAAATTCCAAATTGTATTTTTCCTTTCGAATATTACTCAACCAAAATAGTAAGTGTGGAATATTTTCTTATAAGTATGAGCATCTTTAGATTTCTTTGCATGCAGCTTTAAAAAGAACCCAAGATGTGTAACGGATGTGGATGCTGTGGACCCTGTAATGAAACGCCCTGCTGTGGCCCGCACAGTCCGCCCTGCGGAGCCCCCTCGCCCATTCCGTGCTCCCCTGCCCCGGGCATGTGCTGCCCCCCTCTTCCCGAGGGCGGGATTCCCGATCCGCGTGTCTGGAACTACTATAACACGCCCCCAACGTATCCATGTAAGTCTGGTCCCGAGCCCACAAATCCATCCATCCATCCAACCACCCACCCATCCGTCCGTCCGTCTGTTTGCCCATCGTCTGCGAGTCTGGAGAATGTAGAGGCATCAAAGGAGGAGCACGTGGCATGTGGGGCAACTGTGCGAGCCACAGCATCTGGTATCCCTGCGATCAGTCCAGGTTGTAAGCTATAACCTATAACCTCTCCTAAAGCCCCCTGCCCCAGACGCTACCTTGTGAACAAGGATAACGCGCCCTGTGTTTGGTGTGCTCCGTGCAAGGCCCACTGCTACAATACTCCGCCCAAATGCTGTTGCTAGGGTCGTGAAAGATCTGACCTAAAACTAATCCCTACCATTCCACACTTTCCCTGTCGTGTAAGTACCTGCTCTAGCTGCCCTTCTCATCAAATCTTACTCGTTTCATCCTTCAGGTGGCTTCTAAGTGGGTCCTGGCTAAGCCTTCAGATGGAGTGCTGAAAGTGCGGAAGTGGGTCCAGACATTTCGGGCGCCGTATTTTGGTTGGTAACCGAATGGATAAAGTTGCAGAAAGGCCAGACAAGAACACCTCCAGTTGTGATATTTTTTTGGACTTATTTAGGCTTTAAATTAAAATTAAATGTCTTGAATAATAATGATAATAAGTTGTTACTCGGTGGGAATTGGGCAAATTGGGTATCCAGTTAAAATGTATGTGAAAATCTGGTCCCAGATTTGTTTTGTAAAATTGTAAAGCGAACCACAAGAATGCAAAAAATATTGATAGGAGCTGACGTTGGAAAAAAATAATTTGATATATTTATGTATTTAAAATCCAACAAACATTTTGCAATCTAAAAATAATTATTGTAGTGATCCGTCCTTCTCCGCATCTCATGTAGTTTTCCAGTCATCCTCAGTTGACGTCATATTTGAAGTTGTGCTACGATTCGGATCATTTATGTACAATCCAACGATCAAAATAATAGAAATGATTACTATAACAATGATCAGAATGCCAATCAAGCCATAAACGACGATTGCCTGAGGGCCCGTCATCGTTAAAGTATACTAGCGCCACCAGCACCTGCAAAATAAAGAACACGTTTGTGGATTTTGCTTTATGTTATGGATATATAATACTTACAAAATATTCCTAAAATACTTTTATAATTTTCAAATTTACAGATAAGCAAAGCACAACCCTTTGAACGGAAAGTAACAAGTATACTGATTGGTGACAAAAAATTAAACATTTGAATGGCTTTTCAGTAGGATCATAGCTTCCTATATCTCAGCCTTTTTTTTGGGATAATTAAACTTAAGAACAAGTTTTTTACTATAAGGAACACGGTGTTTGAAAAAATTTAAAAGTAAATAGATATGTTTCAACACAGTTATAGTTTGGAGTCCTTCTTAATTTAACTTCTTCAGCGAATATGTATAGCTATTCTTTTAAATGCGATTGGGAATTATTTGCTTATTATAAGTTATAACAAGCTTACTTTTTCCTATAATAGTTCCATGACTTTCCTGTCAAAATCGGTAAAGTCGTTTAGTCAGTGGAACAGTAAAATAGAAACTGGTGATACAAGGAAATTCAAACTCGCTTCAAAATTATATAAATCATAATACGCTACTGAGTACCAAAATGGAGGCAAAATATATAATAATAATTTTCTCGATTATTATTGGCATTGTTGTTATTGTTGACATTCTTCTAATCGCGTATATTTGCTTAGACGTAGAATGGAGGCAAGATGTTCGTAAATTCGGCAGGCGCCCGGTAAGAATAACTAACCCAAAAATAGGCACCCATGTTTTTGTTTGTTTAAGACAAAACATATTTTTTAACCCGTAATTTCAGCATTTTTGAAATAGTATACGAATATAAATTAAGCCCCTTGCAAAATGCAAAAAAATGAACGAAATATAACTCTGAACACAATGGATTTACTTAAAGGTTCTGTAGGGTTTTTTGACATCAAAAATTAACTAACTTTGCGAGTTTTTCTATAAAAACTGGTTAGATGTATTTCATTCAAACCTTTTGCATATTACTAAGAGTCATTTAAATAACACTCAATAATTTATTAAGCCGATACTATCGGCATATGTATCGGTGTCAAAACGATAGCTGGAACACTTTCAAAAAAAATAGTGTTGTTGTGTTCACTGTATCTCCGACTAAAATGATCGGATTTCCATTTTGTTTTTATATTTAATTTAAGAATTTAAAAAGGCGCCCCCTTGGAAGCTCGATATATAATTTTTTAATTTAAGAATTTTGTACAATCTTTCAAAATTAAAATGCGTTTTTAACTAAAAAAATCGTGTCGAATTCGCGAATTCGCTCCAAAAAAAACTTTTTAAGTTTAAAAAAAATAAACATTTTTCACATTGCACACTGGGCCAGCCGGTCCAAGTTTTGGCCAAAAATACGTTTTTGTTTTTTAAGAAAACGACCTAATTAAGTTTGAATTCCTTTTCATAATACATTAAACTAATTTATGCCAAAGTTTTAAAGAAAGATATAAATATATAGGTCGTATGTCTTACTTGTTTCCTAAAATAAATGTATTTGTTGATTTTTACGGCTTTTTTTGAAAAATGAGTACGTTGCTTTTTAAGAGCCTTTGAGTGCCATCCCCAAATTAGTTTCGGTAATTTAAGTTTTAATTGAAGGCTTAACTCGAAGTCGAGCTGTTTTAAAGAGCTTTAAGAGAGAGCCCAAAAGTATGTCGTTTTTTTTTCTTCAGGTTTTAGTAAACATTTTGCGCGAAAAAATTTGATTTTAGTGTGACTAACATCTTAAATCTACTTTACTAATCGATCATGGTATTTTCAAAATCTATATCTATCTATCTAATCTGGACTATGCAAATATAAATGTAGCATACTTTTGTGATGACTTCAGAGTACGTCAAATTAACATTAAACAAATCAAAACACAAATCAAAACAAAACATCATCATAATACTATTACTATTACACTCGTTCTGTTTAATTTTAATTATTTAATGTTAAATGTAACTATTTTTTCTTTTGTTTATTTTTTGTATTCCTCTTTATTAATTTTGTATTAGCTTTTAAGTTTTATAAAATACCCTATTATTAATATTATTAATTTATAAGACCTAGTCTTGTCGCATCGGGATAAAACAAATGAATAAATTAAATTAAATATAAAACTTAAGAGGTAACAAGAAAAAAAATATACATTTTTTTAAATCGATTGTTTGATAAACGTTGATGTGGGAGCCTCCGAAAGTTGCAGTTTTTAACGATTCATAAATCTTAAACGACATAATATTTTTTAGTGATGTTAATTTTTATACCCGTTACTCGTAGAGTAAAAGGGTATATTGTATTCGTGCAAAAGTATGTAACAGCTAGAAGGAAGCGTTTCCGACCCCATAAAGTATATATATTCTTGATCAGGGTCACTAGCCGAGTCGATCTAGCCATGTTCGTCTGTCCGTCTGTATGAAATCTGAGATCTCAGAAACTACAAAAGCTAGAAGGTTGAGATTTCCCACACATATTCTTTGGCTTCCTACGCAGCGCAAGTTTATTTTAGCCGAGCGCCACGCCCCCTCTAACGCCCACAATCGCCCACTAACGATTTTAAAATGGGTCCTGCGCCGACATCTTTAAAGATTTCCGAGAAGTATAAATGCATTTTTGTTGTGTATATTTATACCTATCGAAATGTAGAAGACATTTTTCAAATCGGACCATCCATTAAAAAGTTATACTCATTTAAAATTGTCAATATATATCTATCTCCCTCGCACTCCCTTTAGCTGAGTTGCGATTATTAGTCGGGACACCAACCCGAGTACAGCGTTTGCAATCCCTTTAGCTGAGTGACGGGTATTAAATAGTCGGGACACCAACCCGACTATAGCGTTCTCTCTTGTTTTTAGTTTGTTTTATCTCCTACTTTATCGTGATTGAAAATGGATTGAGTGCGCCTTCTAGTTATTTTTTTAAAAATAATAAACCGAAAAGTACGTAAAATTTTCCGACTTTGGTTTGGATTATCTACATCATATAAACTTCCAAAAAATTTTACTTTTAGTTCGTTGGAAAGTTCAATCTTTTAAGAAAAAAACGCAAAAAACTGCTTCCTTCTAACTGTTCTAGGAAAGAAAAAACAGATTTTTGGCCAAAAAATAAACTTTTTGGTCCACTGTGCATTGACGAGTTTTTTTTTAACGTAAAAATAGGCGACAAACTTGAAAACGATCGGTGTTTAGAAATAACGATGAACACGGACTTTCAAAAGAAAAACGAAAAAAGCAAAAAACTTACAAAGCTCATATTTTGTAAAGTATTAGTATTATTAGTGTTAGTCTACACATATTATTCATAAAAAATAATAACTTAAAAATATGATTTCTAAAAGGCGAAATTTTCCTAAAACCAAGAATGCCTTGACTTTTATATCAAATCAATAGTAACATAACGTTGTTACATTTTATTCAGGCGATACAAATATTTTATTTACCAGCATATTAAAATAAAACTAAAATAAATTCAATTTTTCCTAGGATCCCATTGAAGGAAGTTTACCTCTTCCAGAAAAACCAGCTCCTGTGATACCTAGTTTTCCTAGTTTGTTCAAGTAAATCATGAATCAGCAACTTGTCTTGGCTCTTATAGGCATAACAGTAATTCTGTTCCTTGTCATAATGAATTTGCTCTTTGTTTACTTTATAATCGACAATCCTTACCTAACCACCCGATCAACAACAACTTCAACTACGACCGAAGCACCCACTACGATGGAAATCACTGATTATATAGAGCCTGAAACAGAGGCGATTGACCTCGAACCTGTCGAGGGTGGTCCCGAGGATGCACCCCCAGCGGAGGGCTAAAAATCGTAAGTCTCTTTACTTGAAATCTAAGTAACCTTTGAAAAGTTTCGGGCTTGCGTGAGTTTCAGTGTTAGGCATCAACCGTTCTCTGACTTAAATTTCGATCTAGTGCCCATACGTTTGGGCGTCGGGATCGGTCAGGCATTCAGTCTTATCGCAGCCGTCGTCGAGTATTGCGTGTAACATAACTTAAACTTACAAAACGTAAGAAGTTATGGAAACGAAACAATTGGCCTTTATCCTAACTGTCGTTGTATTAGTTCTGTTTTTCGCGCTTATGATCGTATTTTACGTGTTCCTAAATTTCGATCGCCGAATTACTAAATCTACACTTGGCTTAGGGTTTTTTGTCGGTTTTTAATCGTCGGTCTCCAAATTTGTCGACAATTCGAGAAGGAGCTCAATCCGATTTGGCGCAATGGTTGAGAACACGACTCTAATCACTATCTTCCTGGTCATAACGGTGTTTCTGGTGACCTTGATGCTATTGTTAATTCCAATGGCTATCTATAGAGGAACAAGGGGCTTCAAGTTCGGACTTCCACCAAAACAACATAGATGGTTGTATTAGTAAGTACCAACAAATTTCCTTGGTTAGGCAACATTTTTTGAACAGAGATAACTAGCGGGGACGCGAACCTTCGTCGGTAGTACCGCCATTGCCTGTCGGGTGGCGTTAGCTGAGTTGCAAACCGATAAAAGCTATTCGGAATTGTCGATAGCTATCGTATTTGAATGTTGTCCGCTTGAAATCTTACTGAGCCATGCAGCGGCATTTGTTTATTTTTATTGTTTCTTCTCGGCCTGACGTAAGGGCTTTTAATTAATGCACATGTCTATGAATTTTAGTGGGCGTAAGACGGGAAATGGTACTTGACGATCATTAACGCATTCCGAGCGAGTCTAGCCCTAGTATCCGATTCATTTCCAATTCAATCGGAGGGCATATCTTCCAATGGCGGTTCCACCTGTCCAAATGCAACCATCGGTGGGGTCGAACTTAAAGTGTAAAATGCGCTCAGTGCCAAAGGAAGCCATATTTCATGCGGCAATTAGTGGAACGATCATCATAGTTAATTTTCGCCAGCCACTCGGCAACGAGCCGGGATTTAGATTTGGATTTGTCAGCCGCCAGCCAGCCAGCAACCGCGATCTTAGACTTCAATTAAATGAAAAATTGTGTCACGCGCCGCGACTTGCGTCTTTCCCGACTTGAAAATGGAGAGCTTAGTGCTGGCATCCCACTTCCAATCCCATTCCCCATTCGCATCCACATCCCCGTTTTCGGTACCGCAGCGCGTATTTCCGCACACATGCACAAAATATTTGATTAAGCCCTGACACTTGCGTATTTCGGATTTCAGATTTTTTCAGACACATAACCCCCGGTTCGGCGTTGCTTGGTCTTTCTTTGTCAAATTCAGATCAGTGTCGCGCGGCGCACAGCGGTGTCAACTTGTAGTGTGCAGCGCAAATTCATAGTGTCAGATCATCACCATCATCGTGGCCAGTGTGTAAGCCCAGACCAAGACCAACGCCGACCGAGCCTTGCCCGGGATCTACACAGGAGCTCATTTGGATACCACCTTTACCGTTTACCGTTACCGTTATCGTTTGCCGTTTGCCTTTGCCGATACCGAACCGATAACCAAGCGATCCCCGCCCATCGATCCTTCCATTCAAACCGTTTACCCGTTGAACTGAGGAAGCGCCAGCAGCTGCCAAAGCGCGGAAGAATGCCGACCATAACCGAGGATTGCATAGATGGCTTCCAACAGTATTACTCGCGGCCCCCGGAGAGGCCCAAGAAGAAGTCCCTGAAGCAGATGGTCTACGACTCCGAGGACAACTCCTACTTCGGACGCTCGATGGATAGCTGGGGTGAGTTCTGGAATCTAGAATGCAGTATCTTGTATCTTATAGCTTATTTCTTGGATTACGTAAACGACGACCCCTGTCGCCAGTCTAGAGTCTTGATAAAAGTCTGACCTTAATCAAGAGAATCTCTTTTGTCGTCGCATTAGCGCTGATGGCAAATGCAGATTATTGTGGATGTGGGTGGATGTATCTATTTACCGGCCTCCCGCCGTTTTCCCGAGTCCGAGTCTGAATCCGTGTCCGTGTTTTTATTGCCCGCCCAATGGCGTTTGCGCTTCAGATCTGTGTGCCCGGGGGCACTTGTGCCGCAATATCGGTCAATTATGCCATTATGCAATCAGCCCGTGGTGAACCCGCCAGCGCTCTCCAGAACCACCTCTGATTTCGGTGGAAGGTCGTAGCCAGGCCTCCCTTAGGATTTGCTTTTATGGAGGGTCGGGTCAGGGATGTCCATTTTTCCATAATTCCCCTTGCAGACAGATTTTTTCCATTATAAATTTCTTGTATAAAGATCTTACTGGATAATTTCTTTTTCGACTTTCGTGAGAGACTCGTCCTTGACGCTCAAGATCCCTAATTCTATAAATCAGTCGCCAGATTATACCTTGGAAGTATAGCTTTCAGGCAATCCCGATTTGTACTTAAAAAATCTAGTTTCAATTGTTTACAGAAACAAATATAATTGTAGCATGAACGGGGGATGATATCAGCCCCCACTCGGGTGAAAGGAATTTTGGTATTCAAAAAGTATGCAACAAAAGGTTCCGCTAAATAGTGGCTCTGGGCTACGAAGGGTTTTCTTGCTATTAAGTCGCAAAAAGTGCCTAAAAATCGAAAATTTGGAACTTTCACTACGTATTTCTCAAAACGTGATGGAAAGTTTCCAAGTATGAGGTAGTAATCTACAGCAAAAATCCTTTCAGGCTTGGTAGCTTTTATTCTTGGGCTATTTTTTTGTCGACCAGTATTATCCAACAAAAACCTTATGCAATAGCACAAGAATACCTTCATTTTTGTAGTGATATAATCAGAAATTTCCACTGGCCCAATTTTTTTAATAAAATCTTTATTTCAATTGCACACAAATTAAAGCGACGTTAGTTAAGCATCGTTTATAATTGAGTTGTATTGTCCACATGAATCCAGTTCTATTGCGATGCCCTCCATCGTACATTTAACTTCATCAGAGTTCTTCTGCGAAACCCACCCCTGTGCGTGTATGTATAGCAACTCTCAGCTTGGCCCACTTCTCTGAATATCCTGTGGCCGCATTTAAACCAGTTCTTTCCCCGGTCCGCCAATTTGAGCGGAATCACTTAAATGCTTTCATTTGCGTGCCAGCGATATTTAAATGAGCCATTTCTCTTCTAGCCTTCCCCCGAACATTTTTTTAATTGGTTGTATTAAATCGATATAAGGACTAAAAAGGTTTTTAAAATTATAATTTTTTTAAATATATATAAATAAAAACCTATCCGTTTTCAATTTTTAAAATTATTTTTACATAAAATTTAATTTGAGAACGGGAAAGAATGAAGAGTTGCCCCACAAGGCAACCCCTTCTGCCGTTTCTCTCAGTGTGGCCGTGGGTCTGGTATCGAACCCCGGGCAATTTGCACTAAATGCACTGCAGTAGCATCGACAATCGGCGGCACCGCCTAATTAAAACGAGTGCACAAGGAGGCAGCTTTTCCACGGCAATTAGAACGCAACCCAATCTCGGTCCGGAAAACCCGACCGATCCCAGATCCGATTCCACTCGGCGTTGTCGTTGGGTTGGCAAAAGTGCAGTGCTGCCAAAAGCCCGCTTTCCACTCAAAACAAACTCGGCTCGAGAGAGCAGCCTCGCATTTGACTCACAGAAACCGGACCAGAAACGAAAAAAAAAACGCAGAACCCGCCAAACAGACTCGAGCCAAGTCTGTGTTGTTTGGGCTGCGTATCGACAGACATCAGATTCGGGTTTCAGTCTGAAATTTGTTTTGAGCGGCGACCAAACGTGTCACGGAGAGCAGCTCGTAACGTGGTCGAAACGCGTTTCGTTTGCAAACAATCACCAGAGTTTGTGGTCCGTTGTTCAGTGAAGTTTCCCCTGTGAATTAGGAATAAACGAGTCCTTGAAAGTAGTGAAAAATTCCATCACGCATCTCTCGCAGAAAAGCCCCTAAAGTAGTGAATTCTTTGTGAAAGAATAGAATTAATTCCAAGCACAGTCTTTAAGAACGCTCCGATATTTCTTCAAAAAGGTGTGGTTGTTTGTATGTGGCCAAGCGTTAAGAGCGCCAGCTAAGAGAGATACAAAGATACAAATGCTCACTAGCAAAGAGAAGGGCAACGGTTTGTTTTGTGGTGTTTTCGAGGCGAAAATAAAAGAAAATGCACATACCATTCGGTGTGGATATGTGCTTAAATAAAGAACAGATGTACATATGTACTCTTGTATCTGTTCAATGCCGGGTCAAAGCCGATGCGGCATTAAAAGCAGCATTGCAGACGCGGAAATGCGTACATGTCGCCGACCGTCTAAAGACGCCCATTTAGGCCACCTTTTCGGCCCCCTTTTGGGCCCATTCCAGTCCTCCTACCAGTTGCAGTTTGTATCTGACGGATGCACTTCTCTGTTTGCTGTTCTTTGGCCAGCCATTTCATTCACCCAGGAGCGCCAAAAAAGGCGCCAACTTTTCTGCACAACCAGAGGGTTGGAAGGGCGAGGAGATTCGAGAGAATTTAAGAGAGCAAAGGACCAAAAGAAAAAATATATATACAAAAAGTGTGTGTGAAATACTATTTGTGTACATCTGTACAACTCGTTGGCGCTGCCACAAATATTTACGATTTAAAAACAAACCAAGTGCTTGCCAGAATATCGGCATAAAAATCGCCACTTGTTTACAGTTCAGTTTAGATGTTTTACATGGATTTTTCACTTCTTTCAAAAATTATTCCTTAAATTACTAAACTAACTTAAAACCCATGTAATGCATTAAACCGAACTGTACACACAGGCCTTTAGATCCAAAGAAAACCCACCGAAAGCAACGACTGAAATATGTCCAAGCCCGTACCAATGAGTCCGTCCTTCGTGGACGAGGATCTGCACAACCTGAGGAAGCCCAAACCGTTCAATTTCGCCCAGTTCTTATATAATTCCGAGGATGGCACTGTGATGGGCCGAGATCGTTCGTCATGGGGTAAGTTTATTGCAGTGTTTATTGCAGTCTCATAAATCTGACAGAGGAAAATGTTTTTTTGTTTTTGTGTTCGCATATGCCTGCTGTAAATCAAGACCATAAGTTATATTTCGCTGTCACCAATTCGAGCCGGGTTTTAATAGCACGGCACCGCGAAAATATCTCGCCCATTAGACCGCCCGAAGTGTCGAGAGTTGCACTTATTCGTAAAAATCAGAGTAGAGGCTTTGGAAGGCGGCGCACAAATTAACATCTGCATGTAACGATGCTCTCGGAAATGGGGACAATTTGGGGTGGGGATGGGCGGCATCTTATTTTTTGTTCGCTTTCAATTACCGCTAGTTAAGCTGTCCGCTTCAGCGTTTATCATCAATTGTACGGGAAGGGTTTTCCTCGGCACGCCAATATTGGCATTTAAAAGTTGGCAAGCCCAAGGCCCTGTGAGTCTATATATAGGCAAATGCACAATGCAATTATGCTGAAATGGGGGGTAAAGCAGAATGAAAATGGAAATATGTTACATTGGTCAGATCTTGGCAAAGAACGGATGGTAAATTTTATTCCACATTTTTCAGCTTTAATCCAAATATCTTTTTAGCCAGAAATAAATGTATATTAATAAAGCATGACTTCTGAATGGCTTCCAAGAATTCTTTGAAATTCACACCTATTAAAACTTCCCAACCCAATTGCACGTAGCGTATCGTATCGAACCCAGGTCTTTAATACTCTTTAATTCTCTTGATAACCAACTTCTTAGACAAATTGAGGTTATGTCAGGTGGGAAGTACGAGTATCTGTGATCTAAGAGCGATCTCTTCACACACACCCATGAGCCGGGTAACAACCAGTTGGCTCTTGAGTGCAATTAACTCATTTAGGGGAATTCTCTTCTCAAATCTTAAGAGCGGCGCTACGGAGAATATATAGACATATGCGAATGTTTGGATGATGATTCAGTGGAGAAGCTCGGCGTCATTTTGCCGTCCACTCCGAACTTGAGAAGCAGCACAGCTCATGGGGTTGGTTCCCCATTTGTTTATATAGCCCACTTGGGCCGGCTGTCGTCAATTATATCGGTTTAACCCATGCCAACCGAGGGGCCACTGGGCAATTAACTAATTCAATCGGTTCAATTGACTGGGGATCGCTTAGGATCGTTGGGAACAGCTTTAATCGGTGTAATTCAATAAGCATTTCCCGTTCTCCTCCTTTCGCAGCCAAAATCGGAATCTTCTATGTGGCCTTCTACGGAGTCCTCGCCGCCCTGGTGGCCATCTGCATGTGGGCCTTCTTCCAAACCCTCGATCCTCGCATTCCGAAGTGGACCCTAGACCGCTCCCTGATTGGCACAAATCCAGGTGAGTCGTCAGTTGCGCAATCACCAGCTAATTGCATCTCTAATCGAGCTTAACGATCTCAGGTTTGGGTTTTCGCCCCCTGCCCCCTGTTGACAATGTGGAAAGCACTTTGATCTGGTACAAGGGGACTCAGCACGAGAACTACAAACACTGGACAGACTCCCTGGATGATTTCCTTGCGGGTAAGTACTCGAAAATAAGGATCTATTATCATAGTTTAATATATCATTGTATATCGATAAAGGATTAATTAGATTGTCAGATCCTTAATTTTATGTTCGATGCATTATATTTTCCATATTTTTCAATTAAAGTTACTTTGAACGTTTAAATAATTGATATCCGTTCGTTCGAGGCATTGACCATTTCTAACCTTTTACCGTGGACCTTTTTCAGTTTACAAAGTACCTGGATTAACTCCCGGTCGTGGTCAGAACATTTACAACTGCGACTACAACCAGCCGCCGCCGAAGGGTCAGGTGTGCGATGTGGACATAAAGTCCTGGTCGCCCTGTACCAAGGAGAACAACTACAGTTACCACAAGAGTGCGCCGTGCATTTTCCTCAAGCTGAACAAGATCTACGGCTGGATACCCGAGTACTACAACGATTCGCGGGACTTGCCCGAATCCATGCCCCTGAGCTTGAAGACCTACATCGGTGAGGTCCAGAAGACACAGCCAGAAAAGGTAAGCTAATGCTCGAAGATTTCCGATTTTCAGACTAATTGAATTACTCCTATTAAATTGTAGCTAAACACCATTTGGGTTTCGTGCGAGGGCGAGAATCCAGCCGATCAGGAGAACATTGGAGCTGTCAATTACCTGCCAATCAGGGGATTCCCCGGTTACTTTTACCCCTACCAGAACTCCGAGGGCTACTTGAGTCCCTTGGTGGCCGTGCACTTCCAGCGCCCCAAACGTGAGTGAACTCAGAGATTTAAACGGAATTAAGTTGAACTAATACCTTCCACCTTACTTTCCAGGTGGCATCATCATCAACGTCGAGTGCAAGGCTTGGGCTCGCAACATTATACACGATCGCAAGGAGCGGATCGGATCGGTGCACTATGAGCTCCTCATCGATTAATATGTATCACACTATTACCTATAACATAATGTAAACCAGAATCTCCGATGAGCAAGAATCTCGGTACCAGAGGGGTAAGGACGTCGTTCAAAATCGTCTAAGACAATCCTACCAGAGGCAAACCACCACATGTTGTAGTAAAAATTGTGAAAGGTTCAGATTTCCGAATGTAATTTAAATTCAAAATCGTTTTAATGTATTATTTCTTCAAGTTATTAAACATAAAAAAAAGTATAATCAAGACTTGCATTGCCTATAATATACAAATTTTAAATTCCAAACATTTTGTATGCACTTTACGATGAAAGTTACACATTAAGATTATAAAGCTGAACACCAAGATGGGAATTCAATGTACAGGATTGAAATAGCCAAGCCTGAATCTCATTTAGTGCTGAATATAAAACCAATCAAATGCAACAAATTTACAGCAATTTATCCAAACTGCCATTTCCAATAAATCAACAAACGAATCTTTAGATAATAAAATTTATAACGAAAATTTAAAGATTTCATTTTTGAGTCTGCTATACATGTAACTAAAACAGACCAATTTTGTCAACCAAAAAAAACAATCTAATATTTACAGCTAGCTTCAGAATATACCATATTTATAATTAACATAGTCAAACGTGAAAGCTCTGTACATCACATTTTGATCAAAAGAACAACATTTGGAAACCAGAAACTCGTAACTTCGGTTAATTTGTAAGCTTATAATATAATAATAATTGCGAAGAGAGAAATTTAAGAAAATTACTTGAATTGAGAATTGAGAAGCGAATCACTTTCAAATCTTTTTCAATAAAATTCAAATGAAAGTAGTCAGAAACAAAACATGTATTTTATTTAATTCATAGGTTGGAAAGGATTATCTCATATTTGGCCTAAGATCTCCAACCTCTGTTAGTCCAAAAACTTACTTGATGGGCATATGACATACTTTTCGGATTTACGTAAACGCTGTTGCCCTGCCGTGATAAGAATTATCACATGAGATAACGCTGATAATGCGATATCAAAAAAATCTCGACCGTCACCCACCTGAGGAACTGGTCAGCCGCTGACTGATAAAATAAACTTAAAGCCAGATCGATTGGCTTTTATTTGTATATAATCATTTAAAAATGTACGCGGTAGGAACCATTTTTATCAGTTCAAATAATAAGTCGGCCAAATGCGTCATTCAAAATCATTAACGAAGTGCTGCTGTTTGCTTTTTGATATTTTGTTTATTTTTAAAATGCCGGGAGAAAAGTGTACACTAACATAGTAGTAGTTATTACTTTGGAAAGAATTCGAAGGAATGATGTTTCAGCTCGTAAGTATTTTAATATTTTTATTTAATTCTGAACAACTCAAACAATTAAATGTATACCTTTGGTGGATAATATTATAAGGAGCACCTTTATCTTAGAACTTATCTTAAGATATTAGCACTTGCAGAGGTTAGCTACTTATACACCAATTTCGTTTTTTTTTTTTTAATACAGGTTAAATTCCCCAAAACATCCCTGGATTGCCAATTCATATCTATAAAATAGATATTGTTAACTAGTTAATTGATCAAAGTCGAAAATGATCATTTTCGCTGGAAAGTATTTCTTTCCCGAACAATTAAGTGGATCTATATGAGTATCTTTCGGTCAGCTTAGTGCTTATGTAGATGTATGTATACCCTCTAATTGACAGCTAATTAGTTGAATGACAGACCATTGTCCACTGAACCTACGCCAAATAGTAGTTGAATCTTTCGCTAAATAAAAAAAATCAAAGCACATCTCTAATGAGGAAGCTCTCTGAGATTGAAAGATCGACACGCTCACGCACACAGGAGCTGCTGGAAAATCGGTTTGGTCCAGGATAAACTGGTTTTCCGAAGATATTCTCGGGGATAAGGGAGATCTGTCATGTGTAATTGCATTTTCTTAATTTGGAGTTCAAATGAAAGCGAAGCGTGAGCTGGACAAGGCAGCTTCTTTCATAATCTACTCTTGTTAAGATATAACCAGACAAATCCAAACGAGGAAGCTGTGAAGTTACAGTTTTTAGACACGACTTAACCTACAGATGTGTGATGTACGTCATTAAAAAGGTATTTTTAAAGACATAGGAAAAATATTAAAAAAAACTACAACCGATATTTAAAGATTCTATTCATATAAAAATAACAAGACGATTCTTAGTTTGAAAAGTTTGTTCCCGAAAAAATTAATAAACCTTTTTGGTACACCAGCTTTGACTTGTAGCTCATAAAGTTTTGAAAATTGTACCAGCTCTCCGAAACTCTCTTACATTCCACTCGTCTGAGAACCCAATAAACTCAGCTACAGGAATTGCGCCTTACAATTGAGTTGTCGACATAATTTACCTACTCTGCCGTTGTCAAGTGTAATTTAATCAACTCAAGATGATTACAACAGTGGAGCACAGAGATATATGAGCATAATACGGTGACCATTTATCCATGCAGATTATCCATACTCATAATCAGCAGCAACAGTCCAAGAAAGAGGAAAATTGGCAATGGCAACCCATTGTTGGGGGAGTTGGGTGCTGCAAGGGGGGTTGCCATGCAGGAGGAAGTGCACATTTATGGGATTTAATGAACTCAGAAGTTCTTGACACTTGGCAACCGTTGATACACTCGAGAAAAGTATTCTCTGTATTACGGATTTTATGGAAAATATTATTACTTGTCTATACTTCGTATGAGGAATTTGAATTAGGGATATTGGAGTTTTTTGTTGCTTATATTATTTTATATTTTTTTTTATTTAAAATAAATTTTGTGTGTTTATGAGCTAAATTAATGTCAAATAAATATAAAATTTTAATCAACAAATAACAAAATAATTAAAATGAAGCCTGTTCATTTTGTTCAGTGCAGCATTAGCAATATCCAAATGCTGATGACGACGAGCAATGATTGAGGAACAATAACAAAGAAAGTTTTCCCGTTTTCCGCGTGGAAATTTCCAAAGCCCAGAGCAGCCAAAAAAATGATCCAACCGTTTGGGAGAGCGTGGAAAAGCAAAACAAAGCGAGTTTGTTGGGGAGTAAAACAACACGCGAGCATAATGAGAGCAACAGTGGTGGGGGGCGGCCAGTGCGGAGGGGCGGGGATGTGGGTGGCGGAGTGTAGTGGAGCCAATGTACTCAACACTCGGCGCATGTCAAAGAGAGAGTGGGAGAACAGAAGATTGGGAGAGAACTGAGCTGGTGTGCGTGTGATTTTCTTTGTGCTTTGTATTTCATATTTATAAAGCAGGGGCGCATCCAACTTTTTGGGGGCTGAGTGGGGCCCACTGCCATTGAGCAGACAACTGTTGGCTGCACTGGCAGAAACTGCTTGGCCCAAATGACCACCCTCGGGTGTGTTGTTGTCTGGCCGCTGTCTGCACTCAATCATTTATTCTATTTGCGTAGCCAGCGAAAGAGGTAGAGAGAGCGAGAGAGATAGACAGAGAGAGGCAAGGTAAGACACACACGAAACCACAGGCTAACACACACACACCTTGGCCACCCACCCACCTCCTCCGGCCACCCCCTTTCACCCACAAGCTTTTGCTTTGGCATTTTTTCATGTTGCTTGGCAAAGTATCGAAAACGTTCAACAGCTGTCGGCGTCACACTGCGAGAAAACGACCATAGGTTAAATGGTATGTTACATCTGACACTATCTTGCCTTGTATGCAATCCAATTAATCGAAACCCAGAAACTTGTATAGTATTTGAGTAAATATTTTATTTAAAGAAGTTTTAAAGTTTTAATAAAATCGTTTACATACTATGGTTGCTATTAACACCTTTGAGTTTCCGTATAAAGAACGCAATGAGATTGGCTCTGTTATAATTATTAAAATAAAAGTCAAAGGCAAAATTAAAAAAAAAAAAAAAATTAATTTAATATACGTAAATATTAAAATATCATGTTCCTTATTCGATAAACTGTTTGATTATAGTAAGAACCACCTGCTTATTAGCTGCTTAAATAAAAAATCGACACGAAAAAAAGGTATTTTTTCTGTATAATATTTTTAGCACATTTCTAATTTTCCTGCAATTTCCCCGTTTTTCCCAGTGCAGCTCCACTCTTATCTTGGAGCTTTTGTCGGGAGAACGCAAGAGCTACACTCAGAAAAAAAAATCGCCCTAAATTTTAGAAAATCGCCATACTTTGAAAATCGCCTTGATTCCGTTTCTATGCGATCTAGTCTCTCAGTTTTAAAGCCATCGCGATGAAACTTTTCCGAAAGTCTTCTTTCTATTGCAGGTTGTACATATGTCGGAGCGAGCCGGATCGGACCACTATATCTTAAGGCTCCCATAGGAATATTCAAACAAATATAAGAAAATTCATTGTAACTTTGTAGGAAGTGGGCGTTTTGATTCTTGACTACTTATGTATAAACAAAATTACTTTACTTTACTTTATCTACAAGGGTATATAAGCTTCGGCTGGCCGAAGGTAGCTTCCTTTCTTGTTTTCAGGGCGATTTTTTTTCTGAGTGTATAGAGAGCGCGGCGCGTGGTGTGCCTGTGTGAGTGTTGAGGGGCGAAGAACGCTGGCGTTGTTTTCCGCTGTGCTGGGGCTGCGTTCGGTTAGTTGGTGATCTTCCGCCGAGAGCGCAGCACGCATAGAAATCCGCAGTCGCAGGAAGCAGGGAAACCAAGAGTTGGCAACAACTTCCCGTGGCTCCCAGCCCGTTTGTGTGTGCTTCTGTTTCGACCTCTTCCGCGACTTAAAATCGGCTGTAACGCGCCTAACAGCCCTACAATCCAGCCGTGTATTCGAAAACGCAGATAATTGCATAATTACAAGTTTTTCAAAATATATTCAAGAGTGCTGCGAGTGCGAAAATAAATGAGAATTCGTTTCCGAGTCTGCTGAATCATCGCATATAGACAGCACCACATATACATAAATCAATTTTCGTAGCCTTCGCGCCGTCCACGTCATCAACGAAAAATATAAACCCAATTTTCGAATCCAATCGAAAAACTGAAAAACTAACCGTAAATAAGTGCGAAAGAACTGCGCCGAAATGTCAAAGAATAACGGAAAGGGCGGCAAAGGTGAATTCGAATTCCCGCAGCCAGCGAAGAAGCAAACCTTCTCGCAAATGATCTACGATCCCCAGGATGGAACCTTTTTCGGACGTACCGGCAAAAATTGGAGTAAGTAATCCAGTAATGGGAACCTTGTTTTGTTTAATTTAAAATTTATTAAAATCCTATATTTAGGGAGTTTTAGTGGACAGATTTCCAAGTAAAATCAACCTATGTTTTGAAAAAGGAAAAATCGTTTTAATCTCTTGAATGTATTGAATATTTGAAAGAGAATTTTAGAAAGAGCAATATACTATTTTGACCGAAACAGTAGTTTTATAGAAATTAAATTTCCTTGGGATGACTCCACTTCATACTTATCTTTTTACGCACTCTACAACTAATATACCCAAAATATCTCTATGGAATAACCACAAGAGATATCCATATTTACTCCCCACTCGCTCTGTACATAGAAACAAAAATGCGATTGTTTATTGCATATAACCAGCCACATGTCCGTCATTTGGTTATGGAAACTATATATACGAAGCGGTTGCTTGTAAATAAGGCTTATCAGTTCATTTGGCGAGTCATAAGTGAGATGAGGTAGAGAAGCTGCTTTGGAAATCTCCGTCACGCTGGCTCGAAAATGTTTAGTCAACCGCCATAAAAAAGATAAAAAACATTGCAAGCCAGCCTGATAAAGGGAATGTTTTATAAGCAGTCATTAAAAATATTATTAAGAATTACAATCACCTTGCGCAACTGTGAGCAAGTAAGAAGAATCTAAGCAGTGAAAAAAGCCCATTAAAAATTTGAAATTAAACAAATGGATACTTTTCTTCCACACATTCGTTTTTTCCTTTGTTTAATTGCCTTTTATAATTTGGCTGCCGATCCCTCTTTTTTGCTACCCACAAAGCATAGCGAAGCATATTTCGACGATAATGCGAATTCTTGATTTTTCGAAAATGGACACGGACCCACGTTCGCAAAAGTAGAAAATCGGAGGGAAAACGTGAGAGGGCAGGGTGCTGAGTAGAGAGCCGATCGCTTTTATCGCCTATAATATTTGCCTTCTTATATTATAATGGGTTCTGTAAACAAATTCAAGGTTTCGTTCGGAGAGGCAGAGTGAGATTTTACGCTCTCACGATACCAATATTTCAGAAAGCTGCCGATTGCAAAACAAACTGCTGAAACACTAGAATTTTAGAATTGTTTTGTGGATTTCTCCGGACTTCTAAATGAAGTGGAGCACCTATGTAAGTGGACACCTTAATTCAGATGTTTGAAGCCCCTTATCGGAAACACGCTGAATAGTTCTCTTGACGTCATTTGTTTGCTTTTAATTAAGTTGGCCGAGTTCGCTTCAAATTTATCGAAATGTTTAGATTGATGTATAATTTATTTGCCAAATTAAAGCCACAGGTGTACCAGCGAAAAGCTCTAATAACTTTTTATGCTAATTCCCAGTCTCAATTTGCTTGCTTTGGAAATGGGAGCCAAGCCCCAAAGAACTTAACCCTCTGTTGACACACCTGCTTTCACAGAACAGATGTCAGAATGTCGATTTAATAAAAACTACTTGTTCAACAAAGTGTGCATATGGACAAAGGTTAAAGTGTTTGTTTTGCCTCCTGCTAATTCCTATCATTAAAACCGATTCATGGTGCATGTCCTTTTGGTTTTCCACTGCTTATTGCCCGGCAATTTTTGTCATGTGCAGCACATTAGTGGGAGAATTAAATGGCAACGACCCCATGGAAAAAGTCAAGAATTGTATACATACTAGATCTAAATTTGATTTACGATCGCCCGATTTTATTCGGATTTCAAATGAAGGCAAAGCATTGGACGGTTGGCTAAGCTTTGATTTCCATTAATTAACGCAATGAGAACTTGTTTAGGTTCGAGCTGGTTTTTTTTTAGGTGGGGATGAACCTTCTCGTAGAACCGGTTCAGCGGGTTTATGTATTTTTGTTTTTTTTTTTTGGAAATGCTTTCGCTTTATTACACATTTTAATTCTCTACAGCGGATTTACCTGCACAGAGGAAAATTCAAATATATTTGCTATCAAAATATAAATAATTTTAAAATATATTTATTTCGTTTTAAATTAATTTGTATTAGTAAATCTTCAGTAATTTCTTTAATGTGTGACTTCGTTTTCTGTACAAATCACACTGCGGTGGATATCAGATCAATGCAACCGCAAAGCAGCAGGAATGGCAGACAAATCACTGCCTTAGCCAGTTTCTAAATCGGGCTCAAACCGGCTAGAACCGCATTTCCCCGGTTACATCTGATTTCCCCATCAATCGCCCCCGCCACGCCCCCCAGTCTGCTTACATTGACATGCTGCTAACTAATTGTCACGATAGCGACAAGTCTACGATAAAATACACAATTTAATTAAAGCACAGGAAACTAGCCTAATTTGCTTAAGGTAATTTAAAACTAAATTTATCTTTCACTGAACAGTATAGAATTCAATTTAGTCTTTTGTTCTTAAATTGATTAAATCTCTTCGATCTCATCAACTATTATTAGGTATTTCAAATATTTTCCTATTGCAAAGAACATTTTCGAATGCCCTCTAGTATATTTTTAAATAATAATAGAAGCTTTTGTTTTTTTGTGATTATGTTGCTATGAGGCTAAGGTAAACATTTTTTCTGCTTGTACACTAGTCTAACTTATTTCAACAAAACGTAATTATAGAAACCAATCCAAAAACTTTCCTGCTGTCTTTGCTCACGCAGTTCGAATAATTCGGCAATTTCCAATTTGTTGTGAACAGAATAAAAAACGGGTAGTTCCGTTCCGCCCGCATTCCAGCCCAGAAATAATCAGCAAACTAAACGTTTGCAATGTTTGCCGTGGGCGGGTCATTCGGGGCTTCCCCTCGTTAACATGTGAAATTAATTCACTTAAAATGCCGCAAAGTATGCTATAGGCCCTAAGCACACAGACAGCTGAAAGAAAGATGGCCAAGGGATCCTGGGTGTGTTACTGTGTTGGTCTGTGCTTGTGTCTGTGGTGGTGACGCAAGGACAAAGGGTGCGGCGAGTAGCAACAAATAAAGCGGCGCCACGGAGACGGCTTATTGGCAATGAGGACGAAACGGGACGGGATGAAATGGATGGCGGAGATGGAGGTGAATGTGAATGGGGATGTGGAGGTGACGTGACCCACTCAATCTGACTGGATTCGGTCCGGGGGTAATGAGTATAATATAATGATGACAGACACCAACAAGTTGCATCCTTGTTCTTATTTCATTTCTTTCTGTTCTCCTTGGCCAGGACTTTCGTCTCGGTGGCGTCATAATTGTTGCTTCCCCTTTGCTCAGCTTAGGCACCCGTGCCCAAGTACACCAAAAAAAAATTGCAAGTCCTTTTAAAAGCTTAGAAAAAAAATTTTAGATAAGTTAACTTAAATTGTTGAAAAATAAAAAATCTCAACATAAAAAAAATTTTTGAATAATTAACATAATAAATAATTAGATACTAGTAAAGGGAAAGAAAAAGGCATCAAAGGAATAATGTTCGACTTTATGAAATTTTAATCGGATATAATGTTATTTGACACCCTTAATGCAAAGTTGGTTTCAAATTTCTTTACTATTTGCATTAGAATATTCTACACATTAAATAATTTTGTATAATTCCCCATTATATTTTCCGGTCTGTTTTACCTATTTTTATTAACAAGTATCACGATCGTGGGACACTTCCAAAGTCAACTTGTCACACACTCATTACATAAATGAGCTATGGTTGCACATGTGCAGGCCGTTAACCGATTTCCCACAACTACGCGGCTTACTGGTCAAATGTGCAAATTAAGCCACTCAGCGGTGGGTTTTTAGTGCTCGAAGCGTTGTCCTGGATTCTGGCCATATGTGCGTCCAACACGTAACTAAATTATTAAGCTTAGTCGGCCTTGGTGGTTTCACTTGGATGACGCCTAGAACGGAGCGAGGTTATCAATCGTTGGTCATGCAAACCGACTAGCGTTTCCAGCGCTTTTGGGTTGGGTTTTCCGGGGTTGGGAATGGGGATGGGGATGGGTAGGGAGTGCCGCTATGTATATGGGTCACGGGTCCTTTAAGTTTGTTTACCACACCAAACGAACGGACGAATGGACAAGGATAAGCGAAGCCCTCGACCCCGCACCCTCCCACGTCTATGATTGTCCAGTGTTATTATAAAAACTTGGTCACTGAGTTGCAGCACTCCACCTCCACGACTGGTTGCACAATGTCCGAGTGTGGGTGGCAGGCCATATAAGTAAAGTTTCCTCCATGAGTCGCATTTACTGTTATGCATAAACTTGATACCGCCCGTCGACATCTTGTTTGACTTTTATATAAGTGTTGAATAAGTTTTGAGCCAGCGGACGAGGACTCTCTGTCACTCGTCCTTCGGGATAAACGTATTTCTTGCTTGCCGATCTCTTTTACTGGCAGATTGTTTTTCATAATTACATTTTCCAGAACTCAAGTTTATTTTCGGTTGTTTTCCATGTATAAATTTCAAGAAAGAAATACATTTTAAGGCAAGAAAATGGCAGAATTGAAAGAACGTCTGGCATATTTTAAATTGAAATTTTTACTTATGGAGCAGAAAAATGTATATGACTTATATATTAAGCCAAATGAAAATGTTTGCTATTTTTCATTTGCCAAGACTTTGGAATATGGTGGGACTGTACTTTTTCGTTATCTCTATCGTGGTGCTATTACCATCAAAAATAATGTCCATTTATCATATGTATGCCATCAAGTTTTTACTTAGTAATAAAAAGTAAATTACGAGAAACCATATTTTTACGATATTGCCACTAATGCAACAATGCCCCTCGGGGGCACAAAAGTAATAAATATATTCATGATTTCAAATTCATCTACTGCATACGCAGTGGGGAGGACATGGCCTGCAATAGACATATGTAGTGACTTCTATATAGTATATACATTATATTTCTCGGCGAGTATCAAATGAAGTGGAGTAGACTTATCGATTTCAGTGGGAAAGGCAATGGCGGTCCCTCCTTGTGCGAGTCTTTGTAATGCCTCATTCAGCGAAGACATAAGAATGTTTTGGGGACTCTGCCGTCATGTAATCGTAAGCGTGTAGACCAGAATTCCTTACACATCGGATATTGGTGGCCAAGCGCCACAGGCCGTCGCGTCGTCCCACCTTGCCAGGCGGCTAGGCGATTGGGATTGGTAATGGAAAAGGGGCAGGGGAATGTGAATGGGGAGGAAGACTGGCGTCACACCACCGATAGACTATAGTCTACCGCCGGCACTTGTCTATGACTGGGTCCGCGCTCCGGTCATTGCCAAACTTATTTCCTTGTACTTGAACGCAATTATTTCCCATTTGGACTTGGCAACAAGCAGTCGATCCATTTGGCGGACTCTGAAACTTTGATGAGCGAATGAAAGCTGAAATATGGAAAAGTCGTTACCAACCGACGGCGAAGGCCATCGATTACCAATTGAAAGTTCTAGTTGATAGTCTTGTGCCTTCTTAAATTGGGAATCGTATAAAGCCACAAATGGTTTGGATATATGATATATATTCACTATACTGGGATGGATCACTGATTACCAATAATACATATAACAATATAAAACTTTGACAAGCCTTTTCATCAGCGAAATATTTTATTTTTCTTAAATTTTCTTTTTATAGCAATTTATAAACTTAGAAAAAGAAAAGTCATTACCAATCGAGGGGCACTACAATCGATTACCGGGTGATTAATTAATGGGTACTCAAGTATGGAAGAACCGAAATGTGATTTACTGGCTCGAAGCAGTTTTTAATCGACCACTTGGCTGGCTCTTTTTTGTAAAGACCCTGCCAAGGCCCATCGATAGCTGGGTGCTACGGGGTGCTCAAACAAGTCAATATCTACCCCGTATCGAGTAATTTCTCCTTGCCTTTGTTACCTACTGTACTCTGGGGTCTGTGCATTGTATTCGATATTCATTCATACGATTAATTTGTTTGGAAATTTTAGCTCGGTTTCGCTGTCAATTTCGGTTTGTCGATGTTGTCGCTTATTTATGCAATTGCTATGGGGCTTGGCAAAGTCGGGCGCCCGATGTCCGGTGCTCAGTGTCCGGTGGCCGCAGGGAAGTAACAAACGCCCCACTGAATTCTAGCTGACTCGTCAATGGTAATGACATTGAAATACTGAAAAACGCCGGTCCCTGCCTCTGTTTGTTGTTTCTGGTCTTATTTACTGCACTCGTCGTAAGCGTTCGATTAGCTGCGTGCTCGTTTCGATTGCATAAGCCTCTGTTGCTATTCTCTTGTTTATACCCATTCCCGTTCCCATTCCCAGATCTTCCCATTATCCAGTTCCGCAGTGCCACTATGGCCCCATTTTCGCAAATGACAGATACTATAAAATCGTAATCGAGTGACACACAAAAGGCAGATGCGAAGACTGCAGACCATATTTTATAGTGAAATATATATTTAAGCAATCAACAATTCTGATTAATATAAAACGAGGTCCCATTGTCATCCATGACTCAAGCTTACGATAATGAATAATTCCTTATTTTTTATTTTGTACATGTTTTAAATTAGTTCGTGATAATATAAATGACAATATATCATCGTACTGCGATTTTCCCAAAATGAGAGGCCATTATTTAAATATATATTTTAATATAATTATATTAGTGATCATAATTATAAAGAACACTATCTAATTTTATCCGTTTCCTTTGTCGCCACAGGTCAGCTGCTGCTGTTCTACACGATTTTCTACATCGTGCTGGCCGCCCTCTTCACCATTTGCATGCAGGGTCTGTTGTCCACCATCAGCGACGACGAGCCCAAGTGGAAGCTGCACGATTCGCTCATTGGCACCAATCCCGGCCTGGGATTCCGCCCCTTGAGCGAGCAGACGGAGCGTGGATCGGTGATCTCCTTCGACGGCAAGAAGGATGCCGAGAGTGATTACTGGATCGGGCTGATTGACGACTTCCTCCGCGGTAAGCTACCTCAAGTCTAACTAACTTTACATTCTAAAACATGGTTCCCTTTCAGACTACAACCACACCGAGGGTCGGGAGATGAAGCACTGCAGCTTTGGTCAGAAGAACGAGCTCACAGATGTTTGCGTGGTCAACACCGAACTGTTTGGCAGCTGCTCGAAGGCTAACAACTACGGCTACAAGACGAACCAGCCCTGCATATTCCTCAAGCTGAACAGAATCTATGGCTGGGAGCCGGAGGTTTTCGAGGAGGAACAAAAGGGTATGCCAGATGATCTGAAGAAGGTGATCAATGAGACCAAGAAAGAGGAGGTGAGTAGATTGGATTCGAGGGCATGTGATCCAGGATACTATTTAAAATACTGCTTAATTTCAGCGCAAGCAAATCTGGGTGAGCTGTAACGGACACATGGGCAAGGACAAGGAGCACTTCGAGAACATCAAGTACTTCCCCACCCAGGGATTCCCCACCTACTACTACCCGTACCTTAAGCAGGATAGCTACCTGAGTCCCCTCGTCGCCGTGCAGTTCAACTCACCACCAAAGGGACAAATGCTGGACGTCGAGTGCCGCGCCTGGGCCAAGAACATCCACTACAGCGGCAGTGCTCGCGATCGCATGGGGTCAGTGACCTTCCAGATCATCGTGGATTAAGTCGCCAATTTGTGATCGCAACAAACAAAACAGAAAACACTAGCCGTATTATTTGTCGAGGATATGGCGACCGCGTCGGAGACCAACTACCACCTACCTTACTACAAGAGATACACACATATGCGTACATAGATATAAATATATATATTTGAAATCAAAGCTAGCGACCTTAGGTTCTCAAGTGCATTGTATATATTTATACGAAATATCGATCCGACCGTCAATTGAACTCGAAACATCTGGCCCAATTTGAAAATAGAAAAGTTGAAAATCTTGAAATTAAAGTTCAAATCGTACTCACGCAATTGTTGTTATAGCTTTTAGCTTGTCTATTGCTATCAGTTATTATTATTAATATTTATCTTATTATTTCATTATGAATTCTTGTAAATTTGATCATTATTTTCTGTCAGTTGTATTTAGTTTTTATTCATAAATGTTAAAACATGCCCGAAAATTATTTGTTTCCTGCACACGGCCTGTACAAAGAAGTAACTAAATAAATTGAAATTGTTAAACGTATGCAAATAATGGAAAAACAAACAATGGAAAATGAAACATTTTGACCTAAGTTAAATGTCAATTATTATTTTCAAACTGGAAAGTATTCAAGAACCTCTATGTAGTGCAATTTAAAAACCATTAACCGCAGCAACAAAGAAATTCCAGTCATATTTATGCGACTAACAAAACACAATTTTTAATTTATTTTAAACATACTTTCATTCACACAAAAAAAGAAGCTAAGCGAAAAATGTTCTTGTGTTGCATCAATTTAATAAAGAAACAAATAATATAAGTACCCAAATTGTATTTTCATTTTATACAGGGTGTCGAAAGTCAATACATTTCTGACAGTTTTAAAGAATTGCCCTTGTAATATCCAAAAATTAGAGCCTACTTTTTGGCAAAATTAAATTTTTTTTTTCTTGCGGAATACCATTTAAATTTTTGTTAGGCTTTTATTAATTTGAATGTATTAAACAATTGCGAAATATTATCTCTTACAATATAAACATACATATATAGCATAGTTATTGATCTTGATTTGTAACATTTTAAACTGCGATATTTTTAATATTTTCAATGCATAATTTTGGTACACATAAATATTTAGGTCTATATAAAGTAATCACAAAATATTATTATCACAATTTATGGATACATGTACATATCAGTATTGGTTTAAATGTCCTCTTACCTTTCGCAGTAATGTTATTCTTGCAACTGGTTTTGATTCAAAACATATTTATGATATGCGATTTAAATTCGTTTATCTTTGAAGAAAATTAAACGATATGGGATTACCAATTGTGTCTTAATTTGCAATACAAATAAGATGTAGTTTCTCTCTTAAATATTAAAAAAATAGAAGCATTGATAAAATTATATTTTTTAAATTATCGTAACGCTTTATGGTTCATTGGTAGGCAATTCTCAATCCAATTTCATAGCATACCAAACCCAGTTACAAGAATGCCGACTTCATTAATATCTTTACGGTTACAACGACGCGAGTAAAAACATCGGATTTCAGATAAAACTTCATTATTCTGCTACTTTAAGTTAGGATTAGCTTGGAGTTGTCGGCTGACTTAAGACAAAAGTTTAGCTTTAGTTGAGACGAAGATTGAAACACGATTTCGTTAGGTACTTTTACAATTGTTACTGCTGTAAATTATAAGAGAAGGTTACAATAGTAATCATGAATTAAGGGTATCAATTTCACCTCAGGCATGTCGGGCTCCCCAAAGTTGCGTCTCATGGTACATTCGATAGATATTGTCTCTGATAAGTTTGGCTTTATCTGAATTGAATGAAAATGTTAGTATTAGGGATTTCTATAATAGTTTTAAAAGCTGCTCTTACCCTTAGATAGGTTAAGGGCCACCACATTCTTTTTCAGGAAGTCAAGGCACACGTCTTGAGAAGTCCCCAATGAGTGCATATTGCAAGTCAAGGCTCTGTGGATTAATATTAAATTGCATTTGTAAGTTATTCTTCTGAATATATGGAAATTAAGCTTTTTAGAACTTTTCAATTCCAAATAATTCCTAACATTATTAACTTAATACAAAAAAATATTGTATTAACAATTTTTTTTTTTAAATTAAAATATAATAAATTTTAATTGGAATGAAATACATTATCTTATACGCGACAACAAGGACTCACCCGAGCTGTCGAAATGCCATGTCCTCCTGCTCCCTGACCGACTGGGCCTGCGTGAGGCTGGTCTTGCTCTGCCTCCGATTGGCCGGAACGGAGCCAGTGGACGCCGGAGCCGCCGGAGTGGCTGATTGCACCGCCTGATGCGAGGAGCTGGACGAGGAGTCGCCGCCCTGCTTCCGCTGCGACTTGGAAGGTGGCACATCTACCGCTCCCGTTACCACTCCTCCTCCGGCTCCTCCTCCGGCTGCCTGTCGCTGTTGCTGCTTCTGCTGACGTCGCTTTTGCCGCCTCATCTGACTCTGACCCCGGTGCTCCCGTTCCGCCTGCAGGGCGTCGTGGAAGATGGCGTTCCAGAAGCGCGCCTGCTGCCAGATGGGCTGTTGCCGCAGCGAGGAGAAGAGGTACTCGCGATAGGGATCGCAGCCGGGCACCTCGACCTCGTGGTAGAAGAGGAAGCAGAGGTTCATCAGCACCGCCGCCGGGCCATAATCCTCGCATTCGCTGCACTCGAAAAGGGCCAAGGCGAAGTACTGGGCCAGACCGCTGAAGGTCAGCGAATCGAGTCGCTTGGACTTGTGACGCTGCTCGGTGAGGAAGCGGGTGAACCAAAGGCGGCCAATCTCCAGGCGCAGCAGCACCCCGAACTCCGACTTCAGCTCCAGGTCGACGGCACTGGGGGATCCACCAAAGAGCAGGGCCGTAAAGTGCTTCATGAACTCCTTCACAGGCTCCTCGCCCGCCCGACAATCCAGACTAATCGAAGACGCCCACGATGGCACTGAGTTCTGCGACTCCGAGCGGATGAAGTGCCTCCAGTCGGTGGACTCCATGCTGGGGCTGGCCAACAGCTGATCGGGCTCATCCCGCAGGCTGGTCAGAGTGCTGCTATTGGAGGCTCGACTGCGCGACGGCAGGCGCATCGAGTTGCTGCCCCCCGCCCACTGCTGACGTCCTCCGGATCCCCCTGTTCCCGCTCCGCCCTCCGTGGGCGGCTGGACATCGATGTGCGGCGGCAGGGCTTCCATCGCATCGCCTATCCTCTGCACATCCCTCTGCATGTCCATCTCGCTGCGACGGGCTCCGGCAATTTGCCTGGCCCTCTCATAGCCGCCGGAGTGACGCGACTCTATGGAATCCGAGCGGGTGGTGCTGCTCACGTGGGATCGATTGGCCATGTGCTCGGGTAGGGACATCGAGCTGCTGTCGTCGCTGCTACTGGAGCTGCTCGAGGAGCCGGAACTCGAGCGGAGTGGTCCACCCAGTTTGCTGGCCGCATGACGGCCCCGCGATGGTTCCAAGCGGGGACCTAGAAGAGGGTCAAGGGCAAATAAGTGAGGTGTTTTGTAAAGGAAAAACTAAGAATAAGGACATGTACTACATTTTTCCTAAAAGTATTAAGAGATTTCTTAGCAATTTTTTTTATTTTTTTATGGTATATTCCATAGACCGAAAATAACAGATATTTGAGTCTTTTATTTTTTTTATAGAAAATACATAATAGGAACTTTTATATATGGTCTTTGGTGTATTAATATTTACTACAAAAATTTTGAAATATTTACAGATTTCCCTAATCTAAGACTCTTTTAAAACTTGTTTGTAATATCATAAGTTTACATAGCGAATAATTATAACTAACTTAATTTAAATCAATTACTTATAGCTATTTTACGTATAAATTACCTATATCTTAATGAGAAATACAAAATTTAGAAGATTTCGTAAGCTAGTTTCTAGACTTTTGAATTTTCTTTGTGCTTTACTTACGTGGCGCCAAATTGGGCTGGCGATAGCGTCCTGAGATAATCTCCTCGTGTGCTCGTCGAGCCTTCACTCGTCGACCCTCGAAGTCGATCTTGGTGTAATCAATAGTCTCGTCAACTGCAGAGAGAAATCATAAAGTATTTGATAATACTGTTGTCATAAGTTCTGTAGTTTGGGGTACTTACACTTTGGTATATCCTCATCGTCATCACAGTAGTCAGAATCGCTGCTACTGCTGCTCAGGGTCAGCTGCAAGTAAACAAAGTAAAATACGCATTTTAAAACGAACTCGATCATAACACCGCATACAGAATGTTGTTCAATAATGTATGTTTCAATGTAAGTGTTTCTAATGGTGTTATCATTTTGACTTTTAACTGAAGGACATGTTTTCAAAAAAAAGAGAAGATTTTATTTCATTTTATGTTTAATGTTCTAGACTTTTAACAAATTAACCCTGTTTTAATAAAATCCGCCACTGGGTCTCACTTTATTAAATAAATATGCAATTAAATCACCTTAACAACCTGCGATGAACACACTCAAAAATGATTGATATTCCAACACAAAGAGCGCCGAAGAAAAATCGAATGTGCACTTTCTCCTCTTTTCTGACTGGTGTGAAAATAATTAATTTCAATCAAGGACGAGGCTGCAGCGCCCAAAGCGAGAGAAAGTCAAGTACAAAGGGAGCAGCAGAGATTATACTCCTACCCGCTTTTCCTTTTCCCTTTTCCATTTCCAATCCCAGGCCCATCTGCAGCCATAGCCGGCACCTCCCCCAAAACGCAGATTGGGGCCTCCAAGTGAAGGTCAAACGAGTGCAGCAGCAAAGCGGAAACAGCAAGAACAAACAGCACAACAAAAGTATCAAAGTGTCAGTTGCTTTTGCAGCATAGACAGAACCCACACACAATCTGCCAGCCCAGCCCAGCACCACCCCCGAGCACCTCTTGTCGCGTTCATTACCAAGGCTAACCCAGCTCAACCCTAGAGATGTGCGTCGTGACTCAAGGGTGGTCGTGATTATAATATAATCGAAATCGTAACATATTGCCTGCATAGGGGGGCAAAAGCTAGAGCTACCATCTGGAGCCAAAAATAAAATAAAGGTATTTTCTTATGGTTTCTTTGGGTTATGGAGGTTGACCTACCAGTATTTATAGTCATACAAAATGTGACCTAGTCAATTTCAAATGAATCCCCATCCTTAAAAGTTAAAATTAGTATTATCTAACAATTTTTTTTAAACTTAGTGAAATCTGCTAGAAATTGCACATGTTTTATTTTTCTCAGTTCACTAGAAATTACGTATGATAAATGAAAAGCTTTAGAGTCGCCTAAATATACTAATTCAATACTAATAATCGGTTTGGAAATGTTTCCGAATTTAGAGTTTTTTTTAAGTTTTTATGTCACGTCGTTTTGGCTACCAGTTCATCCCCCGTTTTTAATATAGTCTATTTTATTATTATAACTACGCCCGTCACGCTGCCTTCCCTAGTTCGCATACCTTGTTTGATATTCCGTTGAGCAGCTCGTTGCTGTTGCCCAGCACTGTGAGAAACTTGGACTTGAGGGCCCCGATGCTGGGTGTCCGTTCCATGAACAATTTGATTTTCGATCGCTCGCCGGCAAAGCCAGCCGGTGGAGTCCCCGTTCCCGGCATCGCTCCCGGAGTGGGTGGCTGCGGCTTGGCATCCACCATGTCCTCGTAATATCTATTTTTGACCCAATTTCCGCCGAATCGCCTGACGTCTGATGATGTCGCTTTACTTGTAGGACCTCTCACTTGGTGCTGCAGTTCTTTTATTTCTTTGTTTAACTGGGAGCAGCAGTAGAGCGTTGCAACTGCTGATGCTTCTTGTATCGATTTTTCATATGCATGTCATAAACTTTGGGTGAAGGTGAACTTCGTACTCAGCTGCAGAATTTTTGGCGCATTTCGGATAATTCTCAAAGGAAACTTTTAAGGGTGTATGGATATTCTTTAAACTCGACGCTTTTCCTAGCCAATTATCTGTTTCTAAAGAAAGGGGTTTTGATATTGGCCTCTCAAGCAACTGCAAATTTTATGTAATTTTATATTAACTGACACTGAGCCTTAAACATAGCTTATTTATATGTTTATTTATGTATTTCTAGTTCTCAGAAGGCTATTCTAATTTTTGGGCAAAGTAACGTGAGGAAAATCGGTAAATTATAAAGGCACTTCTTTGACTTTTAGTATTTTGCATGTACTCCTTGAGCGCCCAACTGGGATACTACATTTTCAATTCCCCCTGGCCCACACACAGGCACACACACTGGCGCACGCACACGCCCCTTTTTTACACGCAATACGACAGGCGGAAGGGTAACGCTAAATATATTTTCCTATGAATTTTCCACACGCGTCCATTGCCTGCAGCGAACATTGCGCGAATGCAGCCGGAAAATGCTTCGACCAAAGTCGAAGTAGCGCTAACATTTGTCGGGCTTTACGTTCGCAGCTGTTATCGATTGCGTGGAAATCTACATAATATCTACATACGGAATTTTCTTCGGGAAAAGCTCTGAGGAAAATCCTACCTGTTCTCTACACAAGTGCACTTGAGGAAGCTTGCCGAAAGCTTTGCGATGGCCGCTGAAGAGACCCGGCATTTCAAGTTGTTTACATACAGCTGGCGAACAGCTGATTGGGAAAACGTCGGCTTGCGTCAACGGAGGCAAGGTCAAAACGTGGGCGTTCTGCTTTTGGGGGTGGGATAAGGTGGGTGGTTGACACTTCTCTGTGGTTCGTATCCCCAAAATGTGCGTGTCTGCAATTATCGAACTTTGACTCTGTCGCAGCCAATTTAATATGCATTGCATTTATTTTTAGACCAGCTATCGCGGTTATCGAACGGACCCCACACGAACCCATCGACGGGGGGCCTTAATTCCATAATTCCCATTATACCATCATATCTCCCATCCATCCGAATTGCCTTTTGATTTGCACCTCCGGCAGACAGCAGGTGGCCCGTGCCGATACTTTTATTGTTGTTTCCATTTGTTCGATCTGAAAGTTATGGATGTTCTTTTTTATTGCTGGCATCTAATGTGCAAAAATTGTTCAAGGTTTGAGATCCACAGGAGATCCCCATGGATATTTGTTTGCCATAAATCATAATTATAGCCGGGGTGTATCCCGATGAACGATTCAGCGGTTTTCTCCATGGATTCTGGATAAATACGTTCTTTAAAAATCATTTAGAAAAACATTGACTTTTTAGGTTTTTTTCTGGATTTTGCAAATAATAGTTCAATGTATACAAAATGAACTTTAACAACTTCAAAACTTCTTTACAATTTTTAATATTGTTCAAAATACTGTTCAAAAATATAAATTACATAATTAAAAATACAAAATTGTCATATTTTCATTCATCGAATCAAACGAAATTCAGGAAACGCAACAAGTAATAAATTCTGAATAACACTCGTAAAATGTTTAACAACAAAAATCGGATAAAGCAGATATATTCGAAAATTAATGTTATTCACACACGCGACGGCGTCTCGCAATCAAAATGTTCTATACCGCTCGAAAACGATGTATTTATAAAACAACGCGAAAATGCTGAAAATAGGAAAGAGAAGAGACGGAGACTGAAGGAAATGGTCGGGAAAGGCAGACAAAATGAGAATATAGTTCTGCGTTGACTTCTTCCTACTCGTGCGACGACTGGGGACCGAGGATTGCAGTAAAAGTGCTGTTTAGAATCTGATTGAGATTTCAGTTCGCTGGGAGACGATCGCCGAACGAGACCGTAGCTGAATTTTCATGTCGTGCTGTGGCTAGACATTAGAAATATATATATCCCTATATATATATATTCATGTGCTACCAGCTGGCAGTGGCAGTTTTGAGTGCGGCAAGACGCGTCAAGTGAAATCGAATTATGTAAGTGACCTCTGCATTCGCGGATTCCAATTGCTGTCCGTCGATCCACAACAATTCACAAAGTTCAAAAGCAAATTCAAATTCGCATGGTAATTAAATCGATCTGAAGTGTTCTAAATATAAAACTCAGCTAATTTTAAACACAGAACGCTCCATGCGAAAGTTCAAGGCATTTTGCAGAATAAACAATCGAACGAAAAAGCGAGTAAAATATGGATGTATATTTTTTGTAGTTAATTCGCCAATTTTAAATAATAAAAGACTGTGCATTAAAAAAAATACGAAAATATAGGCAAGCCAACAAAATGTTTAAAAATAGTTCACCAAAAGTTCTCCCATAAAAATAAAAACTTTTTCTTTCGCCGCGTGAGACTGTGTCTGTGAGTCAGCGTTGCGTTCGCCTCGGTGGCTGCTCCCAGGGCATTTGCCACTCGAAGATGCCGGACGAAGATGACGGCGGAGGCGGATCTTCTGGGTGAGGCGGAGCGGGTTCATCCATCCCAACCCAATCCAACCACTGCAGGCGGCTTTCATAAATATTGCTGCGCAGTGTGACACAATTTCGGGAAATGAGTATGGAGTGGCTGCAGAAGGTTTCAAAAATAGCGCGAGAGACTCGCGAGTGCAGGCCCAGTGAACACGTTGCGTATACGCGATGAGTGAGAGAGGAAAATAAGTCTTGTTTTTTGCCGTGTGTTGGGTAAGGCCTCTTGTTTTAAAAATATTATGGACAGAATTAATGGTGCGTTAAGCACGTAATTAGTGCATACAAACAATGCAAAAATCTTGTGTAGAAAATAATTTGGAATATAACTTGCACCTTAAAAAAAACCTTACTCTTACTTTTTTAGTTTATTTTTATAACTTAAGTTTTTTTAATTTAAAAATGAAAATATACAGAGATTTCCATTAAATATTGTTTTAAAGGAGAGCAGGAATGCGTTTGCACCTGCCGTTTTTCGATGCCTTCGCATTTCCCACATACACAGCCTAAAAGTTCATTTAAATGTCAACAAATAAAACAATTTTTTCTATAATGAGAAATTTATAATAGATAACGGACGAACATAAATAGATAGCTCAAGAAAATCGTCTGATATCTATATTTTAAGTTAATTAGGTTCTTTCTATTTTAAAAGTGTTTAAAAGTATTATTAAAAGTGCTGATAACAGTTTGTATTTATCGTCATCCCGAATATTATTTTCCAATAACCTGCGTCATTACAGAATACATATTCGCTCAGCCTTTAAACAAGATTTTATTCTCTCTGTTAGTTTTCTTCATTCGCTTTTATTTGCTCTTTAATTCAAAATTTTAAAAACGATTCTCTAATCACATTTTCTCATTTGTTCTCTTTTCTAATATTCCTCCCTCTACCGCGGATTTTCTCGGCATCTCAGCCACTTATCCGCGTTGACAGAGTGACTCAATTGAGTCGCTATTTCCTCTTTCGCCGCATTTCATAAATAAATAAGACCGAAAATGTTTTGCCAAAATAATGTATATTTATTTCTGAATTTTTCTATGCACAGAAAACAGTTTTAGCCTAAATTTAGCGGTTTTATTCTCGATCGAACTCTGGCTGCGTTTAGTATTGTGCACAGCATCCACGAAATTGCATTTCTGGTCGTTGCCTCCGGAATTTGGGTGAGCCAGCTAAAAATATGCATTCATAATTCGCATTTTTTGGCAGTTTGCTTAATTGTATTTGAAGTCGTTTGAAGTGGCTGCGAATGAGCAGAAATGTGCCACAGGGAATTAGTGTTCTATAAATAAAAGTAGTTAAATAAATTACATTTCAACCCTAATTAGTTTTTTAATTATTTAGAAACTATATTTTAGATACACAAAAGAAATCAAATAAAACTTATCGAAAAGCTAAGGAGACGGCAAAACGACAAAGATGACGACCCAACAGTTGCTTAGCAAGAATATTCGCTCCATGCCCTCATGGGTGGTAAGTGATAGTCAGTGATCTTAATCAATTTAGAATTGCAATATCCACTATCCACTATTTTAGAACGAGGCCAATGACCGCATTGGACCAAAGCCACCGCCCACGCCCCCAAATGGAGTGGCTGGGGGTCAATCTAAGGCCCCTGCCCTGCCGCCCAAATCGAAGAGCACTCCCGAACCGGATTACGAGATCATAGAGTTCTCCAGCCAACAGTACTCCAACGAACCGATGAAGACCACAGTGATTAGGACCAAGACGCCAGGTGACGGAAAAATTAAATAGATTTAAAGATAAAGATGATAAAGATTTCTATTAGTATATATTATGTTAGTAATAATTATTATTATAATCCCATAAAAACAAGAATATTTCTAAAATATAAGGGACATAAATATTCTAACCATAAATTCTTATTAACTAAAAAAGATTTGTATTTCAACTATTTTAATTTTTTATCCTTTTATATTATTCCATATTGCAGATAACAAACTGAAGTGCACCCTGTGTGGTTCCCAAAATCCCTGGGTGACCTGTGCCGAATGTGCGGGTCAGATCTTCTGTGCCTCCTGCGACGACATGTTCCATAAGCATCCCAAGCGAAAGCAGCACATGCGAAAGGTATGTTTAAGTTCAATACGGAAATCATATAAGAAACTAATGACTTAGACCTTGCAGGCCGTGGAGCAAGGCACACCACCGATTCCCCCGAAGGTGCAGCCCGGTGGTGGGGCACCTCCCCCAGTGGCGCCTCCGCGGCGCAGCAAACGCGGCCTGCTGACACCGTTTCTGGGCCGCAAGGATCAGGTACGCCACTGCACGATCTCCTAGACCCGTAAGAAAAGCCCTTCGATGGGCTTAACCAAGTAGAACCAAGTTTGTAATCTTCAATTTGAATGCTTCAATAAAAAACAAGTCCTTAAAAAAACCAAAAACGGCCCGCCAAAAAACATAAAACCAACAAACCAGAAATATTTTTGTATCAATACTTTTCCGACTACCGAAACCGAAATGGCACCCAACCCGACTCTTTTCCAGATGCTGCCGCCACCCTCGCCCACGCCCTCGCACAAGTCGCTGGGTGGCTGGCGGGGAGCGCTTGGGGGCGGGGCCACGCCCCCAGTGCCATCAGTCGCCAGCAGCACAACGAGCAGCGTAAGCAACCAGATGAACAACCGACCGCTTCCAGAACCACCGCGCAGCGAGGGCGGTGGATCCTCCAGATCGGGCACCCCCAAATCCGTGTTCGACACCATCCAGCGTCCGCCGTCGGTGCAGCTGGAGAAGATCAAGAGCAAGGCGAGCGCCACCCTGGACCGCATGGCCATACTGCAGCAGCGGTACCGCCAGCAGAAGGCCCGGCAGGATCTGAGCGCCAACAGCGAACAGGTGAGTGACCGCCCGATCATCCCACGAATTCCCTCATCATCGAGTGTCTCGTATTGTCTTTGCTACGAAAAAAGTAATATCAAATGAGGGTCAGTCATACCTTTAATCATAAAAGTGGTATTTTTATACACAGATAAAAAAAAAATAAAACAAAATTTTAGAAAAATTTATTTTTTTCCTTTTTAAGGATTTTTACTTAAAAAAGTCTGAGATAGGAAATTGGTTAATTTAAATGTGTCGAAATTAAAAATTATTTTAGACTCTTAATTCTTATGCTAATTTTACAAGGCTTTAGAAAATTACTCTTTAAATTCTTGATTACCCATTCATTAAGAACTTGAGTACCCATAAAATAATAACCATTAATTTCAAAAAAATGAAATAAAGGGTATTTCGAGAAGATCCTTGATATTATTTTTTCCTATGCACCTCGTATCGTCATTGTCTCGTCTCGTCATGTGTCGTTTCTCCCTTTCCTCTCTCTCTCTCTTTCTCTGTTTCTCGTTGGTCATTTCCCCACCGCAGCATTTGTCGAATGGAGCCGGCTTCGAGCACTGGTCAAACATTTCACCATCGCCCTCGCATTTTCGTTCCGGCAGCATGTCATCCGGTTTGAACTCATCCCATTTCGACCTCTCGGATGACTCACAATTTCACAATTCCTTGCTGCTCCAACAACGACAGGCGGCCGGCGCCCAGCGGCGTCAGATGAGCACCTCGGTGTTTAACCTTAACACAAACCCACGTCGACCTTTGGCCGAAACGCAGAACGGCAGCGCCTGGCTCACCAATCAGCGCATCCAACAGGTGAGAACGAGATTGGATAAAATATGATTCTATAAATTGCAAAGATTAGGATTATTAATCCATGATTAGTCCTAATGTATTACAGTGATTTCTTGAAGGGCGATTATTATTTCTTCGGTTTATTATATTAAAAAATCTCTTTAACCTCCTTTTGCAGGCCCAATCGCTGGCTCAGCTAAACTGCGCTGGCTGTCAGCAGAGTCAACAGCATCCTGGCTGGCCACAGAATCCCCACCAGCACCACCATTCGCATCCCCAGCACCCCGACCAGTGGTCACAATTTGGCTCCCAGCAGCAGTTCAACAACTCCAATCTATCACTAAACGTGGGACCCGGTTATATGTCACAACAACAGCATCATCCGCACTATCCACCGCCGGTGTTTATGACCCAGCGCGGAATGATGTATCCCGGAGCACCCGGCTATCCCATGATGCATCCAGGTAAATAGGGATTTTCCTCTATATAAAAGTTAATAATGCTTTTCCTTGACTAGGTGTCATGGGAATGCCGCCCTCGGCTGCTTCGAGGGCTGCCTCCCGTTCCCGTTATGCCGCATCCCCGACGCCAAGTCGAAAATCCATGTCCCTGCGTCGGAAGCGCAACAGCTATGTGGATGACGAACTAACCGATGACGAGGACTCCGACCAGGATGACCGCAGGTCCTTGGTCTCCAACCGATCGGGCATGACCAGCGCCTCGCGATCCCAGCAGCATCATCAGCCCCGTCAAAGGCGCATCTCCAGTGCCTCACAGCTAATTGGTGGCGATGAAGTGGATGGCGATCAGAGAATCAGGCATCACAAGATAAGGGATCGCCGGGGATCCATTGCCAAGTCCGTGCAGAGCGAGTGGCTGCCGGAGAGAAGGGACAATAACGAGGGAACCCTCACCAGAAATAAGCCATCAACCGATTCGGCCCGAACCAGTCGCATTTACTCCGATTTGGAATCAGAGGGTTCGGGTGCCCGTGCCCTGGTTCAAGCGAAAATCCAGCAGAAGCTCCAGGAAGCCGATCAGAACAGGACCTCAAAGAAGGTGGAACAAAAACGAAAACCGGAGATGAAGGACGAGAACACCCAGGCTGCGGCGGTGGTGCAAAAAGTGGTGGAGCCAACGCCCCAAGAGGAGAGTGCCTCGGAGTACGAGGAAGTGGTGGAGGAGGTAACCGCCTCGGAGAGTGAGGCCGAGGCTCCAACTGAAGCACCCAATGCCCAGGAGATCCCCGAGGAGATTGAGGCTGATGAACTGGGACCACCACCTTCTACGCCCGACCACGAATGGGAATGCGAGTTTTGCACGTTTGTGAACGAGCCCAACATCAAGATCTGCTCCATATGCTGTAAGACACCCAGTAAGCCACCAGTTCAACCGAACAACGCCAAAAAGGTAGAGGAAAAACCACAACCTCCAGCTCAAGTTGGAAAATCCAGTAATATCAAAGGAGGGGTGAAGCCAGAGGTCAAGCCAACTCAAAAGCCTGCTCCAAAAAGCCAGCAACCCAATCAGAAAACAGCAAATGCGTCCACCAAGACTACTACCACCACCACTAGTCCAAAGATTCCCTCGACTGCAGCTAATGGAGCCAAGAACACCTCCAGTATTCCCGTCAAGACACCTGCAAAGCCAACACTGAAAACCTCGTCGGAGAACGAATTCGATAACTCGCTGGCCAAGAGCCTATTGCACAAAGGTAGGATACAAAAGAGAATCTCATTTTTCGAGGGCACAAAGGCCTAAAGCCTAGAAACCCCGCCATCAAAGACTATACCTAGTTAGTACACTAATAGAGCGATCGAACTGTAAGCTTACAATTAACGCATTTATGGAAACCAAATACAGAACATAACCACAACCCAAGACGCATCCAGTTTGTTTGATTTGAATCAGTTTGGTGACCCCGAACCCATTACTCTCCACCCCACCCCCCACCACCAAGCTAATGCTCTCATCCGTATCGTTCCAGAGTCCGTTGAAAACATTTGGAATACGCTAGATGAGAGCATTCAGGCGCAGGCGGAGAAGGTGCTCAAGAAGGCCCAGAAGGTGTCCACGGGCTGTGGTGGGACTCCTCCCCGGGAAATAGCGGCCGTGGAAATGGGAACCTCGCCGCCGCCCCAGAGCATTTCCACTCAAGTAAATTATTGTGAAAGTAGTTCAATCGTTCAGTTATAAACCGATGAATTACAGACCTACGACGCCCTGCCCTTCAACTCAAAAACGGAGGAGATCCCAACGGTTGTACCAGATCGTTTCAGAACCCCGGAGCCCAATAAGATGGAGCGACGTCCCCACTATCGCAGCAACTCCCAGTTGCCGCAGGAAAATGAACGATACCGCAGTGCCAATGACCTGAGGTATCACGACGGCTTCGGTTTGGATCCTTATAGTGCCGGTCTCGTCACCAGAAGACCCAATTTCATAAACGAACTACGCATGCTGCAACATGTAAGTTGAGCTACTTAGTTGTAGGAAAAAAGAGAGAACGCTATCAGATACCCTTTACTTAGCTAAAGGGAGTGCGAGGAAGATAAAATTTTGATTGGGCATAACTTTTTAACGAATTGTCCGATTTGAAAAATTTCTTCTACATTTAGATAGGTATAAATAAACGCAACAAAATTGCAATTATACCTTTCCGAAATTTTTAAAAATGTGAGCGCTAGACACATTTGAAAATCGTTTGTGGGCGATTGTGGGCGACTTTGGGCTTTTGTGGGCGTGTGAGGGGGCGTGGCGCTCGGCTGAAATAAACTTGTGCTGCGTAGGAAGCCCAAGAATATGTGTGGGTAGTCCCAGCTTTCTAGCTTTTGTAGTTTCCAAGATCTCAACGTTCATATAGACGGACAGACGGACGGACAGACAGGCATGGCTATATCAACTTGGCTAGTGTCGGAAACGCTTCCTTCTGTCTGTTACATACTTTTACTAATACAAAAGACCCCTTTACTCTACGAGTAATTGTTTTAATTGTTTCAGCAAATCTCTTCACCCTTCGACCTACCCCACGAGTCGTTCGGCGTTAAGCACGAACCCGCCCGAGATCCGGAAACGGAAATGCACATCATACTCAAAGAGCTGGAGCTGTACAAGTTCACGGTGGAGGAGCTAGAGGCGGCTTTGAAGTACTGCTCCCCCGAGACGCATCCCATTCAGTGGCTGCGCGAGAACTGGCACAAACTAGTGCAAACGGTGCAGAGTTTGTCCACGAAGTATGGTCAGGAGAGAGGTGAAAACACCATTGGAACCGTATCCCAGAACGAGGCACGCGAGGCTCTGCGCAATTCGGGTGGCAATGTGTGGCAGGCGGTGGCCGATTGCATTCAACAGCGACAGCAAAAGTACCGGAAACTGGCCTCCAAGGGGAACTTCCTGCGGGACGACATCGTGAATGCGCTGACCGCGCACCAAGGTAATGTGGAGCAGGCGCTGGTGGAGCTCAATCGCACGCAACTCAAGCCATTTCTAATGCGCATCTGGGGCTCGCCGAATGGCGTCGAGAATGAGAGTGGCTCGACGGCCATAGACACCAAGTCGGGTTAGTTTGTAGATCGATCATCCAGAATCCATAGCAATGCCATAATGTCGCATCTCTCTCTCTCTCCCCCCGCATTCATTTGCCAAAAACAGATATCCATGACTTCTTGAACACTCATGCTTTGGACTGCCTGCAACCTCAATTAGTCGGAGAGAGTCCCAGTCCCGCCCAAGCCAATCCCTTCGACCAACTTCGAACTGACGACAGCCCCGTGAAATCCACATATGCCACTCCTAGTCCCTATCAGATGGAAGACAGCACGCTGAAGAACCTGGAGATACTCATCGGCAACATGGAACAGAACCAAGCCAAGCAGAACCAGGAGGTCCTGCGATCCATAGAGACCATGCTGGACACTTTCAAGGGCAAGCCGGAGCTGGAGTACGAAACGGATCCCGAGATAATGCGTATCCTTACAAAGAGCCCGATTAGCACGAACCTGAAACCTGCTGGGTCCGTGGAGGATAAGTCCAGCGAGGATGTGAAGAACTTTGTGTGGCAGCACATTCAGGATATTGTGCCCAATCTGGTGCAACAGGTCGAGCAGGAGCTCATGGAGAAACCTGAGGTAGAGGTAACAGTTGAGGAGCCAAAGAAGCCTGAACCTGAACCTCAGAAGGATCCTGAACCTCAACCTCAACCTGAACTGGAGCCCACGCCCAGTGTTGATCCTGGAGTGTACATCATGGAGGAAGTCATCAAGCCTAATCTGAGGGAAGCCAGCATACGCGAAGAGATTCCACAAAGTTTCATTTATGCCACTGAAATAGCCAACTTCAAGTTGGAATTTGATCGAGGCACCGAACGATGGCACGAGGCTGAGTGGGAAAGCAGTGATCTTAAAGATGCAGAACGTATTGTATACAAAAGCTACCTAGCTCCGAAGGAAACAGTTAAGGAGGAGGTTAAAAATACAGAAAATTTGATTCCAGCTGCGAAAACTGAAGAAGAATCTGCATCAGAAATCTCCATCAAACCTCAAAAGACTGAAAACATCGAAGTATCAAAACCAGAAACTTCAACACCCCCAATAGGTAAAAATGAGATCGTTAATAAAGCACTTGCACAACACACACCAACAGAAACATCAACACCTTCAATTACCGAGAAAAACATAATTAATGAAGAAACGGAAAATAATAAACAGAAATCGAATGAAAATAATTTGCAGACACAGAAGAGTTCATCAGAATCACAAGCACAATTGGATGACCAGCCAAGTACGAGTAGGGAGGCCAACCGAAGAAATAAGAGGTCTCAGCAGCCGAAAAAAAGTAGACAGCGTGAGCAAAGTCAAAAACCTACTAACAGGGTAAAGCTACCAAGAGATATAGAATCGAAAGAAAATGGAACCAAAGTAGTACAAACAGCTTTGACAGAGAAAGAAGCAACTAAGGAAACTTCAGCAGAAACTCAGTCAAATTCTATTTCAACTGATATTCAACCAGTTGCAACTGAAACCGATATTGAAACTGTCATAGACTCTAAAAACGAGACTGTAACCGAACAAAGTTTGTTTCCTCCATCAAAGGATGACAATGAAAATAAACCTTCCTTGGACCAGTCGGAAAATCTACCGACAAATGTCTTAAAAGAAAGTGCTGCAGAAGAAGTTTTGGAGCAAGTCGAAGAGGTTCAAGAATCAGTTAGCCTGAATGAAATAATTGAGCCCATAACACTCACTAAAGATGAATCAAGTATTCAAGATGTTTCTCCACCCCTCAATACCATAACATCAGAAAAGTCTGCAGAGTCTCAAGGGGAAGCCGAATCAGTCAGCATAACAGAAATAACTGAAACCAACATACAACCCCAAGAAGAAGCAATACCTAAAGATATTATGCTACCAACCAATACATCGGTAGAAGAAGAATCATTGAACGAAGTTAGTAAAAAAGATACTATCGCATCTACAACCATTATTTCACCTTCGATAACTGAAGCTCCAGCACCTGAAAACATCGATATAGCGCCCAGTGCTTCATCAATAACCAACGATCACAAGCGAAGTCCTAAACGGTTTTCAAAGATACCCGTGAGAACCTTGAGCAGCAACAGTCTTCGAAGTGAGAGCAGGGCTAGCAATCGAACTCCAACAGCAACTGATGAAATCGAAAGGGAAGAAACTACGAAGGAAGAAGAAATTATTCAGAGAAGAGACAGTCCTTCCAAACCTGAAGATGGAATTACCACGTCTGATAATCAAGTTAGCCAAGTGGAACAGTCTGAAAGAGAAGCTAACATTGTTGAAGGAGCTGCAGTCCAACCTATAAATTTGGAACCCGAAGTGCATACCCCAAGTGCAACAGCTATAGCAGTTACTCCCACAGACTCCGACGAAGTGTTCGAAGATGCTCCCGAGTTCAGCAGCAGTGAGGGAACCCGGCCTCACGATGAAACCGCTTCGGATACAGAGCTCTATAGTCTGGATAGCGATGGTCAGCGGGCAGAAACCAAATCACCGGAGAATGAAGTTATCCTTTTGCTGGACGAGGAATCCCAGCTGGAATCCTCCATAGCCAAGTCCAGCAGCGATGCTAGCATTGGCTCCCAGTCAAGCCATTCGGAAACATCTAAAGTTGTGCTCAAGGAATTCGTTCCTTCCGGAGATCCGGCCAAGCAGAACCTCAGCGAATTGGTAGAGGACACACAGCGGTTGATCAAACAAATGCGCGATGAGATCAGCATGGATGAGTTCGAGTCCACCGACGAGGATGAATACTCCGATGAATACTCGGATGAGTATGACGAGGGCGAAGAGGAGGAGTGGTACGACAGCGAGGGCGAGGAGGAGGGCGATTTCGATGGGGAGGAGGGCAACACCTACAATGAACACCCTTCCTATATAGAGGAAGCATCCACCGGTGACGACGAGGGCACCGAAATCGAGGACATAATGGAGGAGGACGAGGATCTGGCTGATGAAGACGAGGCACAACCCACACAAATCGCACAACACATTGAACCAGTCATATCCAGTTCAGCTCTGTCAGTCACGCCCACAAATCAAGAAAACGATGCGATCGCAACCACTGAGGTTGTTTCCTCCACAGGAAGGAGCCCGGAGAATCCTGAAGTGGAGGTGATCTTGCCTCTTCAGACAAGTCAAGAGGATGAGGTAAAAGTGGAAGCTCTGCCCATTCAATCCCCTCCTATAATAACGGACTCGGAAACTCGACCTGCGGAACAACCTGTTGAACTTGTCCTGGAAGTTGAGCCTCTCCCAGAAGTTGAGCCTTCCCCAGAAGTTGAGCCATCCATTGAAGAACCATCCGCCCTGCCCATAACACCCGCACCACCCATTGTTGATTCCGAATCCCAACCCGTGGAGCCGCCCGTCGAAACGGTACTGGAGGAGCCCAAAAAGGTAACAACGAGCACCAAGGGCAAAGCTGCAAGCAGCGGAACTGCCTCCAAAACGGCCAAGTCCACAGTCAGTAAGATTCCCAAGCCCACCAATGAACCCACCACTAACAGTTCGACTAGCTCACCCTTAAACAAGAAGGTTCCGCTGCGGTCCAAGTCCTTCTCGGCGCCCATGGGCATTTCGTCGGTGAAGAGAATCCAGGAGGTCTACCTCCAGAAGCAGACCACATCGATTGCGGCCAGTCGAGTGCCGCTCAAGAGCAGTCCGACCACCAAGAAGTCCATCAACGAAGCCATCTCCAGGTTCAACTCAAATCAGTCCGATGGACCGAGCACCAGTGGAGCAGCGGCGGCGGCTGCAGCGGCATTGTTGAAACCCCGTTCCCAGCCCCGAATTCCGAAGAAGAAATACCACGAGACCTGCTTCTCGGACGACGACTACGAGACCTCGGCCACCGAGGAGGAGGAGCCGGAGGATCCCAACCAGGGCGAACCCCTAAAAGCAGAACTGCTAAAGCGTAAGCTGAGTATGCCCGTTTTCCGGGCATATCCTAGTGTCCAAGAGCCGGTTATTGAGGACCCAGCGGTGTGTACAAGTCGAGATGTGGCTAAGAAAGTTCAATTATCATCTAGGTTCATTTGCTCTCTCTCTTTTCAGATCCTGGCCCGCAAATATGTCGATCAGGAACTGGTGGCCAACATCGCTGAAGCCCAGATAGCCGCCACCTTGGTGAACATGAAATTCTCGGAGGATGTAGCTCTATGGGCGGCCAAGGAGTGCTCCGACCTGGACCAAGCCATCGCCATGCTGCAGCAGGAATGTGAACTCTGCATGAACAGTTTTCCCATGAATCAGATCGTGTCCATGCTGAAATGCCTCCACAAGTGCTGCAAACAGTGTGCCAAGAGCTACTTCACAGTTCAGGTGAGCGCTGAAAAAATATCTTATGAGTTTTTGGAAAGATTTATAAATAGACGATAAATATACCTCCAGAACTGATTTATCCTGAGGTGTTTTAATAATCTGAAGGGTTTTTAATTAAGGTTTTTTATGCTAGACAATTAATAACGAAAGCCTTTTGTAGTTCCAAATTCAAAATAAATTGTAACATACTTTTAGACACCTTTATAAGCTTTTGGGATTTTTAAGATTTTAAAACGAGACAATTCTTCTATTTTATTTAATTAATTTATTTACTTTTAATCTTTAATTTTTTTCAGATAACCGATCGCAGTATCAACGATTGCAATTGCCCCTTCTGCAAGCTTCCCGAACTGAGTAACGAGGCTGAGCATGAGGACGAGCACCTGGAGTATTTCTCCAACCTGGACATCTTCCTAAAGAGCATCCTGGACAATGATGTGCACGAACTGTTCCAGCGCAAGTTGCGCGATCGCAGCCTGCTGCAGGATCCCAACTTCAAGTGGTGCATCCAGTGTTCCTCCGGATTCTTCGCTCGGCCCAAGCAGAAGCGGCTGATCTGTCCGGACTGCGGATCCGTGACTTGTGCCCAGTGCCGGAAGCCCTGGGAGCGACAGCACGAGGGCAGCAGCTGCGAAGCTTACCTGGAGTGGAAGCGCGAAAATGATCCCGAGCTGCAGGCCCAGGGCGTTCAGGAGCATTTGGCCCAGAACGGCATCGATTGCCCCAAGTGCAAGTTCCGCTACTCTTTGGCCAGGTAAAAATAAGCATTTTTACTTTATAATATATATAATATATTTTATATAAATATTTCTCATTTTCCCAGGGGCGGTTGCATGCATTTCACCTGCACCCAGTGCAAATTCGAGTTCTGCTACGGCTGTGCTCGGCCCTTCATGATGGGCGCCAAGTGCTCGGTGTCCTCGTACTGCGCCAAACTCGGTCTGCATGCCCATCATCCGCGCAATTGCTTGTTCTATCTGAGGGACAAGATCCCCATGCAGCTGCAGTTCCTGCTCAAGGAGCAGAAGGTCAAGTTCGACACGGAGCCCGTGCAGCTGAAGGACGAGTCCAGCAGCTCGACAAATGCCCGCGCCCAGGCCCGCTGTCCCATTCCGCTGCAAAAGGAAACGCCGCAGGGTCTGGTCGATACAGTGTGCAACACCGAAGTGCCCGACAAGCACGCTGGCATGTGTCGGTAAGTTTTGGTATTTTAAATTAAATTAAGATTGAAAAGTGTTTAAAATCTATATAAGTATAGTTCCGCAGAAACCTCTTGGGATTAATGGCGAATATACCTTTCACATACCTTTTTAAATGATTATAAATCTTCAGATCAGTGGCAGCCAGCAGAGGCCGAGCGCACGACCCATGGGATTGGGAATTTCTCTGCCGCTGCGCTGTCTGCGTTTCGGAGCACACGTACGCTGTAACGCAGATAAATGCAATGCGTGTTTTTATTGTATGTGTGTTGCTTCTGCTGGCCACCACTGCTCCGGAGTATTCCCTTATATTACCACTAAAGTCAAAACTCCTGTGAATAATATTGTCTTCCTCATAACTTAATCTAATATAAATTCCCCTATATTCCGATATTATTTCAGCACCCACTACGTTGAGTATTTAGCAGCCAAGGTGGCCAAGGCTGGCATCGATCCGCTGCCCATCTTCGATTTGACGGACTGCGTCCAGGAGCTGCGGAGGCGTGGCATCGCCCTGCCCGAGCGAGGACCCTGGGACACCGATGAGATCTACAAGACCATGTGCTCCGAGGTGCGTTCTTTGGCTATCATCCATTTATCGCTTTATTGATTTCCTATTATTTGCTTGGCATGGTTTGAGTTCGCCATTTCCATTTGCTTTTAACGGGTTCCTTTACGCGGAAATCGAGTTTCCTGCGGCCGAGGGCGATTTGTTTTCGCCGGGTGATTCAGTGTCCGCCCCCATCGATTGATCGAGGCGGAAAAAAACAAATAAAGAAAATAAGATCGTTTAGCCGCCAACTAAATTTGGATGCCGTCTGACGTATTTCACACGCGTCTTAATTGATATTCGTTTTATTATTATTTAATTGTAAACAGTTTGCGCGGTCGAACCGAAAATGTTTATAAATGTACCCATCTCTCAATCTCGTTCTTACTTATAGGTAATCAAACAGCATATTCCACTGAAATCGGCATGAGCAGGAGCAAAAGGAGAAGTGAAGCTATGATGGTCGACTGTTGCAATTCTTCATTAATTTTTATGATTTATGGCAAGCACTTTTATAGACATTTTTATACACCAACCTGCACACGAAACAATTTTAAGTCTTAGACTGTTCGTTAGACATTATACATTAGCCATGGCATGTATACACCTTCATCGACACCTACTCATCGTCCATCCAGAAGCCTTTCCCATTTTGTTTAGTTACTAAGAGATGGAAAACAACAGCCCAAAAAAACGGCACGTGGAACAGAGTGCATTCAATAAACCGAATATGTGAAAATTCAATGCAATTGTTTTTATTTTTTTCTAATGATTTTCAACCTGTGAATAAGAATGTGCAGACGCCTTTTCAAGATACCTGTGGTTATGTGAAGCACAAAAATATGAGTAACCAGTGATTTTCTCCCAAAAATCCTAGGCAAATAAAAAGTTTGTCAACAAAGTGGGCGGTACCAAAAAGTTCTACTATATAATTCTCAAAATTATTGTATACTTTTGAGCTGACATGCTTTGTCAAAGCAAATGATAGCTTTGAGTATCTCGAAAGTCGTAATTCCACTAAGAATTATATTCTTCCCCTTGAGCGTTTGCGATATTGCCAAAAAGGCAAATGCGACCCATAAATTATGTCCCGCGGCAAAAAGAAAAGGCAATAATAATAACAACCACATGAGCAGAAAATAAACCAATACAGTAAGTGGGGGATATTTAAATTCAAATTCAGATTCACATTCACCGACGCGCCGGGACAAAGTTACTCGCGGAGGCCAGGAGGGAACGTGATGAGACGAGAGGCGCTGGCGGAGGAATCGTAAAAACCTATTTTCGTAGCGATTGAAATGAATTTATGCGCGCGGCACAACATGTTTTGATATTCGGACAGTTTTACACCAATAACAACTAATTAAATGGGATAAATTGTATATTTATTGATCCATAAACGATCGCCTCGTCCTGGCAGTTGCTTTGAACTCAATACCCCCGAAGTGCAGCATTCGGATGCGCTGTTTTTAGTTCAGGGATTCAAAGCGCGTGGCATGGAAATATGCAGATCACATGGCCCATGTTATTTATGATCATCCAGACAGTTTGGCACTTAAGGTATTTATTCCTCGTTCACGTAGACAGGCGTTATAGACATTATAGTCATCGCAAAGCGATAGTCCCTTGGGAATCCATCGAATTTATTATTTCTAAATAAAATAATACAATATATTAAAAACGTTAAAATGGAAAAATACAATTTGTTGGTCTATATAAAAGTAAAAAAAATCATAATTATATTAATATAAATCTATTGTTTAGATTAAACAACCTATTTTAAGAATGTTGTGAACATTTTTTTTATTTTCAGGTATTATAAAAAACGTTCATATTCTTCGTCTAGCCGGCAATATGGAATGCCTTGTGCTTGGCCATTAAAAACGTTTAAGTGTTGGCATGTGCCTCGTAAAATAATGTCTTCAATTTGTATGTTTTATGAAACAAAGTCAAGGTGAAACGACATTGACCTTAGGGGCTCAAGTTAATTACAGGTTAACCGAAGCCATTAATCAATCACTCGGCCAATCGATCGGATTGAATCCGAGCGGCCTTTGATTCATGGGTGCCAGAATTATACAATTTAATGGCTTTACTATATGTGGGAGGGAGAACGCGTAATGCAAACATCTTGTCCGCCCACCCAACACACGACGTAACCCCACCTTTGTTGAATTAACCTTAGCGCTTGTTTATTAGAGACTGAATTACGGGCAGCGGCGTCACATCCTGTCCACTGCAAACAACAACGGCTGGATGGGTCTAGACCTCCTCCTCTTCCCATTTGGCCGCCATGGAAACCGTGACATTCAATGTCGAAGCAACTAAAGAAAATCATCTGAACGACCTTCGCGAACAGCACAACAAATAATTAGCCAAACAATGGTTGGGTTTGCGCGGAAAGCCATCATCCTGCTGATAAACAACAATAAATAATTTAAATTCAAATAATAAATATTTACGATTAGTTGTAGGTAGCTTCTCCAGAAATGTTATTCCCCTGATTGTTTTGCAAATCGCGTATGGCGGATTATGAGGCGATTTGTTTAGAGGGTTTTGTTTGCCAAAATCTTTTATGAACATGTGGAAACGAAAACTAGATTTCGCCAGTTATATTAAAAAATTCATTTTTAAATAAACTCAGTTTACGGTTCTATATTTTTAGCATTTCGTAGGTGTACATAGGGTATTAACTGGTAGATACATATAAGTATACTTTAAAAGTCGTATGCAATTAAATAGTATTTACAAAATGGTTTTATACTTCACACCAATGCGGTCGTATTAGGGGTAGCTACATAAATACATATATAGTCTATTTCACAAATATAAAACAAACCTTAGCCGTCTAATAATTGGTCGTGAATGCACCGTTCGCACTCCTTACATATCTTTAAACTATAGATCTAGGTTATTGCATTAGTTTGTATCCCGTACACACATAAAGTAAGTAACGCGTAAATCACACAATATAGTACACTCATAGATATAATCATAAAACTACATACATATATATGTTTAGAGTATATAGAAAATCATCGTAGCGGAAGACTAGAAAGGTAACACTACTGGAAAGTTATCCGTTGACGTGTTGTTTTTTTTTCTCAAACTGGGTTTCATTATCCTACAAATTCTTACTACTTAGTTATTACAAATTTCGTCTATATAAAATTATATTAAATTCAGTTCTGGGATTTTGCACTCGCAGAACAACAGAAAAAAACCGTCGAGAAGTGGCTTCTCTGCTCTACAAAAACGATCTTATAGATCCACAAATTCAAACAGTTCACATTTCTCCGATTGGGCGATATCGTCTTATTTACACATTGATGTTATCATATTTTGAAACATCTAAAATATTTGGGTTCAAAAATCTTTGGAAAAATTCGGAGGAGTCTCTAAGGTCATTTATATATTCCGAATCGTCACCCTGCTCAAATCTCTTGAGGATTCGCTAGATAGTTAAGTAGTAATCTACTGCATCAGATCCAGAGCGTGCAGGCTCTCGACATCCGGATCGGAGGAGGCGTCGCAGGTGGAGAGCCAGTCCCAGACTCGCCGTCGCACCATCGCCTGATCGATGGGTATGTCCAATCCATACGTGGACATCATCCGCTTGAAGCGCAGCTTGTTCTCATCCCCCGAGAGGCGACCTTCCCGCTGGTTAAGGTAGATGCACGAGTCCTGGTCGTGGTTGGTGGGCGAGATGAGGGTGGCCGACTTGGAGGTGGAGATGCGGCACTCCACCCAGCGGTCCTTCATGTACTTGGCCACCTCGGTGATCTTGCACCGGTCCTCGGGATCGTGGCTCAGATACTTTCGGAAGCAGCGCATCAGACGCGGCGAGAAGCGCCGGAAATTATCGGGCACCTTGGTCGTCTTGCGCTGTTCGTACTTCATGAAATTGGCATACGACACATCCTTCACCCAATCGGCGGATTGCCAGGGGGGATTTCCCGTCAAGATGTTGTACAGCAGGATGCCAAACTGCCAGGAATCGCTGACCGGCAGGCACTGGAAGCGCTCGTTCTTGATCAGCTCCAGCTGCTCGGGCGGCACACAGCTGGTCCACGTGTGCTTCACCTTGTGCACTAGCAGACCCTTCTTCGTGGTGGCTCCAAAATCGCAGAGCTTCACGCGCGTAAAGTCGGGCGTAAAGACAAGTATGTTCTCGATCTTCAGATCGCGATGCACCAGACTCTTGGAGTGCATGAAGCCGAGGGCCGAACTGAGCTGCTCCGAGATCAGCTTGCAGGCATTCTCATGCAAGCCATTCGGTCCGATATTCGAAGCAAGATCTCCGTAAGGGGCGTGCTCCATGGCGAAAACGTAATAGTCCATCGTCTGGAAGGCCACTGCGTAGGCGCTGAGGATGTGATGGTGGTGCGACAGCTCGTAGTTGTAGTGGAACTCCTTCTGGAACTCCTTGATCGTGGTCAGCTCAGCGTGTACTGCCTTTAGCACCACCAGCGTGCTGGTCTGTCTGTGCCGGCACAGCAGGATCTTGGCGAAACAGCCCTCGGCCAGCGTCTTCTCGATATTGTACTGATCGGCGAAGGTCATCAGCGGCAGCTCCACGTCCGGAATGAGATGGATCTGGCCTCCGTCGTTCTTGTCCGGCTTCTTGTAGATGCTGCTCCTGCGGCTCACGGACGCGGCGCCTGGCACCTCCAGGCGCCCGGTACTGGTGCTCGTCGGCGTCAGCGGAGTGCTGCACCGCTTCTGGTTGTTGTGGTTGGTGCAGGTGCTGCTGTTGTTGTTGCTGTTGCGGCTATTCGTGCTGCCGCCGTCGCCGAAGGAGCGGCGCAGCCGGAAGGAGAATGAGCGTTTCTCTAAAAAATAAAAAAGAAAATCAAATTTAGAAAAATGTTTAAAAAATATGTTATTTGAATTTTGACAAAAAAAAAAGTTTTTTATTTAATTATTACTTCTTTCTTTCATTTATTTATTTTATAAAACAACAAAATAATACAAAATTTGTTTTTAAATTAATGTTTTTTATATTGATTTCTTAAATATGATCGGGGTAAATAGGTATAAATTCGAAATCAATTTCGTAGACAACTTAGTAATGACTTCAAAGTTTTTAAGTGTTCTTAGATACATTCTACTTTAAATTGATTTATTCGAAATCATTTACATACCTACTTGTAGTATATGAAATAAAAGCTAACTTTGAATTGATTTATTCGAAAATAATAAATAAGCACATAAAGCAAACAGTAAAAGGAAAACCCAAGGCTATGAAACCAAAAATAGAAAAATCGATTTCAAATGAAAGTCAAAATATTAAAATGTCATTAGCAATGACCCCACCCATGGCAACACAGAATTTACCTGTTCACACCTAAACATAACTAACCACAAATAAAAAACACAATATTGTGTCATTCTGAGCTGTTTTAATTGGATTTATTTTTGGTTATTTTGCTCCATATGATTTATAGCCAACGTTTGATGTGCTGCTTGGGTTGCTTTTATGTGTCCATTTGTTGTTCCACAATGCGAATTATTAATTTATCAGCCAGCGGAACATAGGAAAACGTTTTACAGCCCTCCATATCGAAGGGGGCGTGTGATGGGGATTCGCCCACGCCCAAGACAGAGAAATAGACGATGTTGTCGCCAAATTGTCTGTGACAAAGTTAGTGCAGAATTTGCGTAGATCCGCGGGGTGGGCCGGGCTGTCTTCACTATGAGTTATGATTATATGGGCCGCGCAGCAAAGACGTCAGCAGTTAGTCACTCTGACTGACGATTGCTCTGATTTTTGGAATCCGCAATCTGCGTAGTGCCAGCCGCAACACTCCTACCTACCTACAGTCGGTCTCGTTTATAGCCAGGGAAATCGCGGAAAATCATTTGATTTGCAGTCAAATGGGACACAGTCAGGCACCTACATATATCAATAGAATGCGTTAGCTGGAAAATCGCACCCGGCTAAGCAAATAAAATTTTCACCCGTACATTTATAGGGCGTGATGTGATTCTCCTCTCTTGATTTTCTCACAATTTTACCGCGAATTGTTTTTGACGCCGAACTTGTATCTATATAAATCGGGACTCTTGCTCGTATTTCATTCGGTGTCACTGGGAACGAGCTGTGTTGGCGAATTAGTAATTACATCTATTCAAAAATATTTCCCCTTAAGACAAATTACTATCAGACGCCAGAGGAAAATACTTAAAGCTCAGGCATGCGGGAAATGCATTTTTGGTCGAACAATTTATGAACACTTCCCAAGGTGGGTCCAAGTATACACATATGTATGTACCGAAATGGGCAGCGGGTATAAATAGTTACGGGACAGCTTGACAAATTTTCTTGATTTACGATATTAAACGATCTGCTTAATTTTGTAAATCTATATGAGACAAATCGAGACATAAAAACCGTCTAGAGGTAATTATAAATTCCTAAATCATTTACTTAGTCGTTTAGTTCCCATCAAGAGCGTTATTATAAAACATAAAATAATATTTAGATTGTATTTCTTAGATTTCGAAATTTGGAATATAAAACAAGAGAGAACGCTATAGTCGGGTGCCCCGACTATCAGATACCCGTTACTCACCTAAAGGGGGTGCGAAGGAGATGGAGAAAAACTTTGATCCGCCGTAACTTTTTAACGAATGGTCCGATTTAAAAAATTTCTTCTACATTTCGATAGGTATTGATAAACACAGTAAAACTGCATTTTTACTTTTCCAAAATATTGAAATTTTTAAAATCGTATATAAGCGATTGTGGGCGTTAGAGGGGGCGTGGCACCCTTTTGAAATAAACTTGCGCTGCGTAGGAACTCATAGAATCTGCATGCAAAATGTCAATCTTCTAGCTTTTATAGTTTCCGAGATCTCAGCGTTCATACAGACAGACAGACGGACAGACAGACGGACAGACAGACGGACAGACAGACAGACAGACAGACGGACAGACGGACAGACGGACATGGCTAGATCGACTCGGCTAGTGATCCCGATCAAGAATATATATAGTTTATAGGGAGCGGAAACGCTTCCTTCTACCTGTTACATACTTTTGCACGAATCTAATATACCCTTTTACTCTACGAGTAACGGGTATAATGACTAAACTAAGTTCTGTTTTTAAGGCTAAAAACAGCTATGAATGTTAAAAGAACTTGAATATTTGACCCTACTAAGTTTTGGGGATTTCTTGGGTACTTTTTTCCTTATATAATATTTCTGGAAGGAGAGTATTTTTGGAGAAAACAAATGTGATTTCATTTGTAGCCCATTAACCCCCAAAAATAAGTGCCATTAGTTTGGAGAGTGGACATTGGCAGCAACAAGTCAAAGTTTTTCGCGGTTCTTTTCTGTTTTTTTTTCGAACATTGTCTATTTCCGTTCCAGAAGTGATTGGCTTGTGGCCAGAGGTGGTCAGTGCCCAACCGCAGAGATCCCTAATAAACGAGATCTCCACTTGTTAGCCAGCCACAAAATATGGGGAAACTAATTATAAACCGTTGGAAACCGTCAAGCAGACGAACAAAAGCCCCAGCGACCTGCGTGTGCTCATAAATCAAACTTTCACTTTCCTACCATTCAGTCCAACCCCCTGAAAATCCCTCCCGTCCCTACATACTCAATTCAAATGAAATGCCAATTTCATCTTGATATTCTCTTCATATATTTGCGGCAGAAACACTTTGCAATGCCAAAAATAGCAGAACAAACAAATGAGCCAAAAAGGGTCAGCAGGCATTCTCAAAGATGCATTTCGGCGGGCTAAATATAAAATGGAAGTCAGAATTTCCGTGTAAATCATCTGCCTTCGAGGGGAGTCGTGTAAACAGTGGCTCAAAATAAACAAACACCCCAGTGGACAGTCGGATCGAAGTGAAATGTGAAATGCAATTGCAACAAAGGCGCCAGGAGACTCGAACTGCCAAAGGAAAAAATTGTTTTAACGATAGCTGAATATTTTTGGCTAATATCTTAGCCGATCTGCAGTTTCTCTTACTAATTCAGATTTACTATATTGAAATCTTATTATTAGTTGAATCTTTTTTTTTCTTTATAATTTTTCCCAAAAGTGTTACCTGTGTAAACATCAAGCTGATACTTTTTAATTATAATAATGGTAATCGTTCTTAAATTTGAAAAAATTTTAATTTTGTATTATATTAAATATTACCTTCTAAGACTTGGTTAACGCTAGCCAAGGTAGATATATTTTAAACGAAAGCTACATGAAGTCAAATATGGTATATTGACGACTTCAATTGTGATATCTGTCCATAGTAAATATTTAATTAATTGTCTTCTTTTCTTTAGGTATCGTTTTTAATTATATCTTGTTTAATGATAAAGCCACAAAGCTTTTAAGCAGCACTCGAGGATTTCCAAAGAATCGATATGCTTTTCTTGGCCACAGAGCAGATTCGCCGGGCAGATTCGTCCAACTCTCGTATGAGTGACTGACAAAATGAGCGTTTCGGCTGCCGTGCCCCCCGCCCCCCTGGGGTCTAGGGGGTCCACCCAGAGATTTCTGTGTCCCGGTTCCCGCCTGCTTGGCAACCCGCCCGACACTGTGCGCGACTTTGGGGGCATTGCTGACGTCAATCGGCAAATCGTTGTCGGTCGGCGTGCCACATACAGGCACAGATATAGCCCCACTCACGGGCCAACGAGGCTAGGCTGCCGCTGGGTCTCCATCGGTTTGTAAGTTTCCTATTATTACAAAATAAATGCAAACACTTTTAGACCAGCGCCAATCCAGCCAGCCATGATGAATTGCCCGGGCTGGCGTCTGGAGACTAGAGAGAACGGAGAACGAAGAACAGAGACCCGAGACCATCGACCGGACAATCCCCCCTACTAATACCACTACCAGCCCCTAATCGAGCATTTTAAACAATTGATCCAAGCTGATTGCCCAATCAGCGGAACTGGTTCACTTAGTGCCCCACTCTTTGATGTGGGCGAAAGACGTAAGTTGATTTTCAGGACCTACGGCAACTTGAAAAAGTCGGAATGGCTTTTACGTGCTGCATTTATAGGGTTGGGGGACCTACGACAATCTGTTGCCGCGCTTTCATTTCCCATCGAAATTCAAATTCAATTTCTCCATATCTCTCGCTTTTCAATACTTTTTTCTGTATACCTAATTACTGTTTACACAAACATACGAATTTGGGTCAAGCAAGTTCTATTACAATGTACATAATGTAATTTTGTTGATTTTTTCAACGCAAGGTAGCTGTGAACTTTTCTATATTTATGTTAGTGTTTATAATCTTAAAGATTTGAATTTCCCTTTCCGTTTAAGAATAATTTATAAATTAGCTAAAAAGGAAACCATTAATAACTTAAGTTATTGTTGGTAAATAAATAATCCTATTATTTGTGGTGCAAAAAATGTAGTAGGTTTTTTCCTATTGCTTATTTTAAGGCTTGTCCAACACACTGTATCGCATTGCTCACTCCCTATATAACAAGTTTTCGTAAGCAGAATATAACATATTATACAACAATTCAATAAAAATTAACGACTGAAAGAAAATTTCCGCTGCGCCCACAAGCCCGAGCGAAGGCAACAAAAACCAAAATAAACAAAAAGAAATAAAATTAAATATATATAGGTTTTTAATGTAGGCAAAGGCGGCAAAACAAGAAAAACCAAAATTAAATAAATAATATTAAGAGAGATCTTTTTTTTATGCCTGGATCCTACATGCGTCTTAGACAACGGATGAGTATTGATATAAAAGCAAAGGCAGGCGAAAAATGCGAATTTTTTGTATATTTTTGTTGTATTTATAAAACACGTTTAAATTTGTTCAATTCGCTTTCCCTATCTTTTTGGCCCAAGGAGTGTATTTTTAGAAAAGTAGGCGTGTATCCAGCCGCCCTCCCCGGTCCACGAAATATTGATATATGGCAGCACTCTAGAGGACCACCAACCAGAGGCAGCTGCTCTGGGAAAATTGCGCACATGACTAGCACGAGCGGCAGGTGGCAAGGTGGCAAGTGATGATGCAGGATGAAAGCCGGCTCCTTCAAGAAACACCTTCGTTCTGAGTGGCGCTTGACAGGCTCGCATGCCAGGGCTAAAAAGAAGAAGAGATCTGAACTGAAGAGGCACAGTGATGGCCCAAAGTCACCGCCCACGGTAAATTTTTCCATAATTTATTTTAATAGTTCCGCCTTAACGATTTATTTAATTTGCTCGCCTTTATTTCATATTATATCTGAAAGTACATATTTTTTTGTGCAAAATAAATGCTTATAAATAGCCTCCTGTGAGGCGAACAAATTTGTAATTACGCGCTAACGAAAATGAATGAAAATCAGCGTGAGGAAAAAAACTGAGAGTCGTGTAAAAAATTCATGTAGCTGACAGTTTTCAAGGTAAGGTCAAGGCAAGTGCCTACGTAAAATCATTTATCAAACCTCTGGTTGATTAAAAAGAATCTCGCAAAAATGTTGAGAAATGAATAATGTACAATTGAGCAGGACCTATAAATAATATCCGAATAGTTTGCCCCCGTCGAAGGTAAGGCGATATATGTATTATAGATTGAGCCGATGCCTGCGTACATAAATTAAGTGGGCCATTCATTAGGGGTCAGATCGGTGCGAAAGTGGAAAAGCTCCATACTTGTAAAAATAAATACATAAGTTTTGGGAAATATTCTGCGGAGGAGGCTAGGGGTTAAACAATTGCTGTTTAATATCTCTCATGTGGTCTTGGCTCTGTAATATGTGTTCACGGAACACTTAAAATGCTCATAAATAATTGTAAGTAATGGTAATAATAATATTTGCATTGCAGTCTGAACGCGGGAAATTCTCTTGGTTGACGTCAACTTTACTTAGCGATGATTGAAATAATTAGAAGAGTTTTTCTTGTTTGGGGAAGCGGATATTAGGCATGGAAATCAATTCGATAATTGTTTGCTGATTAATTGACTGTTATTTGATTTGTTTACCCTCAAGATAGAGCAATAAATTAACAATTCAGCAGGCAGCCTTCTTCGAATGACAGGCAGGATTTTAGAATGACCTATAAAGACTTGATTAATGTGTGGCCCGTTTTCAGATATATCTGTCAGTCTGATAAATTTTTTTTTAATTCTAAATTCTAATCGCAAATTTAAAAAACTATTTTTTATAAAATATGGCAAAAAAGGGGTCACACCTATTGCATTCCCACAACAATGAATATTTTTGGACACTCGGTAAACAAACAAATTTCATGCCATGCACTCTTAAATTTTTTGTTCTTAATAAAATTAACAAATAATGCCCCAGAGAAGTAAAAAGACCGAAACAACATTTCTAGACGGACGGGACAATAACAAAAACATTTCAAGAGAAAGCTCAATGGCAAAAACATCATCACGTGCATCTAGTATAAACAAAAACACCGCGTCTAGACTATATCCAACAAACTGGTTAGAACTGACTTCCTTTGAAGTGCTCCTGGAACCATTGACCACTTGATGGCTTTCGAAAGGTGTTCCCATTGTGAAATTATAGATAGATAGTTCCTAAGAGTTCCAAAATAAAACATGATCGAATAATGTTCTTTAAAAAGAAACATTAATTAGAGAAATAATATGAATGTTCAATCAAAATGTTAGACTACATTTTCGAAAGCCCAATCTGCGTAAGATATTTTCCATTTATATAATAGACATTTATTGGCCCGACCAAATAAACGATTCATGTGATGTTTGAGCGGCTAAAGCGTAGCAAAAATTAATAATTTATTAAATACTACACACGTATATCCGTACGTATATTTATATACAAAAAATAAAATAGAAATGCTTTCTTCAGCGTCACGAATACAGAAGGAGAAGAAAAAACGTTCACAGTGTTTCCCACGCATTTAGCTTGGCTTTCTCTTTTAAAAAGTAATCACACAACATTTTTGTATTTACTCTTACTCTCATTGTTTATATTTTGCATTCTATTTTGACTAGCATTTCATTATAGAGTCATTATGTTTTCAATAATTTAATCTTATAATTTAATCGATATGTTTTAAGTTTTAAACTTTGGGCTACCCCTGAGTGTTACTTCAGAATTATACTTTTAAATACGAAAAGCATGTTTACAAAGTAGTAAATAAATGTTTCCATCCTGGAGAAGTCTTCTGAACTGGAAACCGATTAAAATGGAGGGCCTACGTCGAGCAGCCGATGGAATTCAACCCGCAGTGATTATTGACTTGACCACCCTCGATGACATGCAGCCCGTCATTAAGCACCTGGCCGATAGAAACAATGGAGTCTACGTGTGCCCCGTTTGCATCGAGTCTCCTGAGGAGCCGGTGACCACCATGTGTGGTCACATCTTTTGCAAGGAATGCCTGATCGCCGCCTTGGTTCCATTTCAGAACTGTCCCATGTGCAAGAAAAACGTTTCCAGTTTTGTTCGCTTATACATATAGCCGTTTATTCAAATTTTGTTTTTAAAGTTTAAAGTTATGTTCAAGTTATGTATGTTTATTTCGTTCGGTCCAATCCTAGACAACAATAAAATTAGCCGCACCAGCAGACGATTTATGCACTTAACATATCAAATCTTTAATGTGCTCATTATGAGTTTGTACAATTTTTAAGTACATATTTTTATTGCGTGTCAATGGCAAAAAGCACGTCATCAAACGCACGGAGCACAGAAACAGTTGGTCGAACGAACCTGTGCAGTCTTTCGCCTTTCTCGCACCGACACAGATGGATGTTGTATCTTTTGCGGGGCATGGCAATACTTATATATTTTATCTTTTGGTTAGCCATAATATTTCTCGCGCCGACAGGCGACGGCACGACCTTGTCCCATGGCTCAACGCGTAGAAAGCGAAAAAAGCGGACAGTAGAAGATCAAATCGGAATGAAATAAACCAAACCAAAGCATTCCTCTTGGATGCATTATGAAAATATATTTTATTTTAGTAACAAATTAAATTTTGATTATCATTTGGAAGGGATTATAAATAGAATAATTATTATAAACTGCAGTTGGTTGTGTATTTCTTATATTTTAATATATTAATGGCCAACAGTGCGTATGGATAATATAGAAATTTATTTTAGGTAGCCCTCCCAAAGAAATATTTATGAAAGTGCAATTGAAACGAGTGATTTTGGTTTCATCCGACATCTCATTTCACTATGAACATTTATAAATAATATTCAAGTCGTATTTTTGCCCATTCGCCCGTTTTGCAATTATCTCGAAAGGTTCATTGCACCTTGTCTTCTTAATTTGAACACAATCAAAAAGCATTTGCAATATCTCGCCAGAATTAATTGCACATTAGCCTATCGGTGTTGAGAAAACACATCTTGAGGGCACACAAGAAGCACTTGTCTGGTCGAAAATAGCCTAAACACATTACACCAGAGAAGACATCGCGCATACGAAGCGTGTGCCGCTGTGGCAATTAAAAATCAGAAATCGTAAACAATGTTCAGCCATAATGTGCGAAATGTGGATAATATTTTTTTTTAATTTTTGTTATATCTTTTAACAACTTATTTTGAGAAGAAAAATTTTATGTTTCTGGATTGTTGGACTTTCACAAGTTTCTTTATTGCAGAAAGCGAATTAACGATTGAAATGCTCTCCGTTTTTTTGTAATCAATATATTTATTTCAGGTATTATATTTCATTTAAATATATTTTAAAACTTTTACTTTTTGCCCTACCATTTACATTTGACAGCCGTCAATATTTTCAACACATTTTTTCAATTAGGGCGCATTTAATATGCGTACACTCTGCATTCACATGTTTTGTTTTGTTTATTTGAGTGATATTGAAAAATCGTCTGGGGATGAGCAATGTTTGCGCTGCGGTTTGACTGGCCCGAGTTCAAATTTCCACCAAAATCGACACAGATATATGAAATACTCTTGAGCGAGCATGAGTATTTACTGTCTAGCTAAAATTGCTGAAGGCGGCAATTGGCTTCGCACTTCATTAATGATGCCGCGTCGGAAGCTTCATTGCCCAAAAGGAATACAAAAAAATTACGCATTTAAAAAGAAATATACACATATCAACGGATTTTCTTAAATGTACGTTAGGGAGGTCTAAAAAATATAAACTTTTAATCTTAATTAAGGTGCATATTAATGTGCAAATATTATAATTGAAAGCTACAAATTTTTCTTTTAATATTAAGTGGTTAATGAATTTCTTGATAGAAATGAGGAATTTTATCATTGTGGTATTGAACCGCCCTAATGCACATATACAAAGATTGGTTAGATGGCTCTCGGAAAATTCGGCAGCAAATTTCATTTCCGATTCAATGCATCCCGAAAACCAAAAATGCTCAAAATTCGTATCAATCAAAGCCGTTTTTTGTCGCTTGACTGATTTCAATGGCTCTTGCTGTACCTATAAATATTTAATATTATATTTTGTTTATTTTTATTTCAATATCACATGTTATTCATCGATCGAGAAGCTGATTTCTTTTTTACGTACATCTTTTTGGCAGACAAATCATTTTTAAATTGATTTCAGTGAAATAATCATTTTTCATAAGTAGACATTGATTTTCATCTGATCTTAATTAAAAGCGATTTTTCGTCAATTCTTGGCGGATTTGGTTCTGCTCGCTGCCAAGCAAATTAGTTCAACCTTAAAGATCTAATTGGCCACTGACGAAAGAGATGAGTATCCAAATTGATGGCCAGAAGACCAACATTGGGATTAGCACATCTAGTGTGCCTTGAGGGCAGCTCCCATACGAAAATCACAGACAGTCAGGCAGTTGGAATTAAAACACACACTAAAACGTACACGTAGTCAATAAACAAAATGGAACACAGAGTTGAATTGTTAATGGAACCAATAGCGGATAGCAAGTTGATGTGCAGATCGGACCACAAAACGGACCGAAAAGTGGAGATTGAGGAGCCCCATCTGACGCAACAGCTTGGGAAGCACTACGAAACGGAGGCCGAAGTTTTGGGGTTGCTTCTGGACCTGGAATCCCGATATCGCCAGTACTACGATCTGTACCAGTGTGAAATGCTGGCCCAGAAGACACTAATCGAACGTATATGGCTGTTGACACAACGCTACCTAATCCTGATCAGTTCGGAGCAGAGCTGTCGATATCCCGAGGTCTACACCCTGTCGACCGAAGAGGCGATTGTCAATGAGTACGAGGAGAAATTGGAAGTACTGCGAGCCTCCAAGTAAATTTATTAAAATATTTTAAAAATCTTATAAGCTCTAATATCAATTTTTCCCAAAGCAATACCATGAAAAACTCGCTGTTGAAAATAAATCAGCACTGCAAGAAGTTTTATGCCGCCTACGAGCGACTCGATAAGACCCTGGAAACCCCGATGATCATGGGCGATTGCCATCATAGGAGCATCAAGTACCACAAGATGATGGCCGTCGATATATTCAACTATTTGTACGCAGTGGTCCTGAAACTCAAGTGCTACATGCATCAGCTGGATCCCGTGAATTTGGAGAGTGTCGAGGACTATCGCGATTTGCTGCAAAACGAATCACTGATGGACGAGTTCGACGAGTACCTCAAGGGGAACTTCGTGTACTGCAAGTGCCTGCTGCCGACTCAAACCTGCCCAATACTGAAGCTAAAGTGTTCCCACCAAAACCTAGTAAATTTGAAGTATGTCAGTCGTATCTAATCAAGGCACAATAAATGGAAGCCCTCTAATATTAAATAGGATTCCTTGTGTTTCCTTTATTTATTGGTCTGCCCATGGCTGCTTATACAAGTAATCAATATTAATGAGCGTCCCATTAACATTTGTGGGGCTCTGTTCCCAATAAACAGAAGCCCCAAAATGGTCGTCATTATTCCCTATAACTGAATGACTTCAGTGGCAGTTCAATAAACATTTAGTTTATAGCAGGTCAACAAGTCGGGATCTGCGCTGGGGTGAAGCTCCTCCAAATGCCGCTCGAATTCCTCCAGATTAAAGTTGTTTATCTTGCAGTAGGGACAGCGAATAATCACCGGCTCATCTTCGGTGAAGAATCGAGCCAGGCTAGCTGGCGTGAGGATGCAGAGCATCGCATGGTCGAACTTGTGCTCCTCGGTGGTCACGTCAAGGGCGTAGCACCCGTTGCACAAGTTGAAGTCCACCGGGCAGGAGAGGCAGTGGAACCGGCGACCCGGAAAATTGCGGCGCATGCAGCCGTTGCAGGTGATGCCCATGTGGCGGTGGGTCTCGTCTCTACATGGGATCTTATTAGTTTGGTTTGAAACTATGTGCCTTTGGAGATTTAAACTTACTTAGCATTCTGCATTTTCTTGAAAAGGTTAAGTATTTGTAAATGTCACGCGGAATTTAGAACTCAACACTTAACATAAACCCAATAGAGTGCAAATGGTAAAGGATGCTGGAGTAATGTTGAATGGTAGAAGATATTTCCTCACAAAGTACGTGTCGCCAAAAGGATTTGAGAAGTGATTGTCATTGTGAGACCTTAACAACGGTATTTCAGAGAGCTATCGATAAGGACAGCTTTTTCTAGTAGCGTCAATCAACCATCGGTAAACATCGTTATTTTTCAATACTATAAAGTGGTGGAAAATATTGAATTTTTGTTTAATAAAATGTCTGATTGTCTTAAAAAAAATTTATCCAGGAATTGAAAACTACAAAAATACTGTCATATCCCAGTTCTCAAAATAATAAAAAATCTATATCCAAAATAAAAACCTATTCTATTTAAGGACGGCATCTTTACACATACTGCATTTATATTTGTTCGTACTTGTTGAATGTATAAATTTGGCATTTAAGATATTAGTTTTGAATATATTAACCGTAAAGCTAATAGAACTTTTATTGCACGACCACTTTCGCATCCTAAAAATTATAAAATACCAAAAGATACTGGATAAGCAGATATGAAGTCAGCTCGTGTAAAGGGGCCTTAATCCAAGACAATTTAAATGCAACCCTGTTTTAAATATTTCCAAGCATACGAAACGAAAACCTGAAAACGAAACTTAAAACAATCTGAAATTGAAAAAGCCAGAGGGCTCAAAGATATTGTGAAAGTGACCTTTGCTCAATCGTTACATTTTCGTGCTGGGCATAATGTTGCATTACCATGAAGACACAAAGTCATTTCTGTTATCTATGGTTTTATTAACCCCTGAACTTTTAGCAACGCCAGCGAGAAAAGTGCTTTGAGGATGTTCGGGCGACGAGCAGCATGTCACATATGTACATAAGTAGCTGAAGCGTGTTTAATGCGATTCGCCCAGGCACTAGTCGCATTCACATCCCGAGGATGGCATTCAAAAAGGCAAGTCCTGGCCGCAGGTGGCACTTGAGTATGCAACTGTCGTGGCCGTGTGGGGCCTCATCACAATGAACCCATTGAGGCAGAAGTGCCCCGACTTTGGCCCCAGCGAGATGGCAATCAGAGGGCATTTGTGGGCGCACCCGAAAGGACACTGGATCGTAGATGGCCGGGCCCAAGGATACCGCTCTGAAGCCAAAGTCAAAGCCACCTGGCTAATGACCGGCTGCTACACCCACATATATACACCGATATTATGAGCGGAGAAAATCAGAATCTCGTGCGTCATTCCGATTATGAGTTTAGGGTCTATCCCCAGCCGCCTAATTTATTTTATACATTTTGGATAAACAAAATTCATGGCATTTAGCGGGCAGGCCGGGCAGCCCATGTTTATGATAATGACGTCGTTGTCATTTGTCGCCTGGTGTTTTTTCTTCTCTTTTTTTTTTCTTTTTTGTTTGGTGTTGAAAGGAGCTCCAAGTGGTAAACCATGTGGGTTGATTGCTCTCTTCGGCCTGTGTGCTTCTCGATTTATTTTTAGCCAGGATAATTGAAAAGCAAGCAACACAGAAAAACAGCAGGATGAAAATGGAAATGAGAGGGGCGTTGACAAGGGGCTAGCTCGACTCCCACATCCCACACATTTGATTGAAAAGAATCTCGTCAGTGTTGTGTGAGCTCTCTGAAAAGGATTATTTACATAAATATAGGATTGGCTCACAGCTGAGCTCGTGTGGAGTTGGCCTGGGCCAACAAAGGATAATCGGATTGGATGACAAGCAATCAAAGAGTAAAATTGTGCAACTGTTCGATAACCACTGGCAATTACAGCACTCAAATGGGGAGCTGCCTTCTAGGAAGATTAATAACACAGTTCGAAGAAAAAGTTCTAGCTAAGAATATAATTTAAGAGGGTCGAACAAGTGTGTCTAAATATTTTAATGGAAGTTGTAAATAAGAAAATCATAATTTAACTTAATATTTTATTTTGGGCTGATCATAGGATCTTTAAAATACAAAATAAAACATTAAAATACTTTCATGACGCCAAAATTAGAATTTATCCATTCACTAATCATTAGAGCCTTTTCGGTTCGATAATTATAATTATTATGATCTTTAGCGATCATCTTTACAATCAGATTAAGACAAATATAACCCCAAAGAGAAATAAGACATATTTTACTCACCGATAGTGCCCATTTTTTGCAATTTGGTTTCCTTGATCAGTAATCCAAAAAACGATCTGTTATCCTTTTTTTGTACTTTTAAAATGTCGGTATCAAATACCGTTGATCACCGATTCCAGTGTGTGTCTTCGTGGCCAAATAAAACGTCAAAAAAGCTGCGATCACACTTAGAAAGTCACATTGCAAATAGCAAAATTCGCTGATAATTGACTAGTTTTCGGTAAACAATATATTTTGCGTTTTGTTTTTGTTTCGCAATTTCCAGCGTAAGGTGGAAATTTCAAGGTTGCTTCACAATTAGAAATAAGTTGGCAGAACAAGATGAATGGGATATTTTAGTTGACTTGTTTTCTTGCCTATGATTTTTCTTTATTTTTCGCGAACGGATACTAAGTAGCGGGCAGTATAGTCGCAACGAATAATGGCAACAATAGAAATACACAAAACACAAGCAGCGAAAGACGCGACAAAAATGAACGCAGAAATCACGGCACTTTCACGTCCACACGTCAGGAGTTTTCCGTTATGAATGATTTCCCATTTCCCAGACTGTTCGGTTTTTATATTTGCATGGACAACCGAAGGCGTTCGTCGGCAACTTTAGCTTTTAAGCTCTTAGAAGAACACTTTTAAAAAAGTATTATTCTTGGAAAAACATTTAGTGAGCTACATTCATTTAAATGTCTATAATATTTTAGATTCAAAATTAAAATATAATTATATATTATATATATATATATAATAATATATAATAATAAAAAAATAATAATATTATAATAAAGAATTTAAAACAAATTGGCAAGATACTCAAAAATTATTATACCCGTTACTCGTAGAGTAAAAGGGTATACTAGATTCGTGCAAAAGTATGTAACAGCTAGAAGAAAGCGTTTCCGACCCCATAAAGTATATATATTCTTAATCAGGGTCACTAGCCGAGTCGATCTAGCCATGTCCGTCTGTCCGTCTGTCTGTCTGTCTGTCTGTCTGTCTGTCTGTCTGTCTGTCTGTCCGTCTGTATGAACGCTGAGATCTCAGAAACTACAAAAGCTAGAAGGTTGAGTTTTCCCACACATATTCTTTGGCTTCCTACGCAGCGCAAGTTTATTTTAGCCGAGCGCCACGCCCCCTCTAACGCCCACAATCGCCCACTAACGATTTTAAAATGGGTCCTGCGCCCACATCTTTAAAGATTTCCGAGAAGTATAAATGCAATTTTGTTGTGTATATTTATACCTATCGAAATGTAGAAGACATTTTTCAAATCGGACCATTCATTAAAAAGTTATACGCAATCAAAAATTATATATCTATCTCCCTCGCACTCCCTTTAGCTGAGTTACGATTATTAGTCGGGACACCAACCCGACACAGCGTTTAGCTGAGTGACGGGTATTAGATAGTCGGGACAACAACCCGACTATAGCGTTCTCTCTTGTTTTTTTATTAGTACCTTAAATTTTTCTATTACTTTATCTCTTTACTTTTTCTTTTGTTTTTAGTTCGGTAATTTTTTTAAGAAAACAAACTCTCTTAAATATTTAAAGATGCTTCTCTTTCTTTAGCGCTCTCTCCGACTCTTTACCTGCGTTTTCCATGTTGGAGAAAAGCTTCTTTGGCCGACGGGAAAAAGCTTTCATCTTTGTTGCTGGCAGTAGTAATTTTCATTCGAGGGCCTTCACTGAATGATTTTGCCTTGAGTTCAACGCATCCTGGCGAAAGTTCTTTCACTTTTGTCAGGAGCGGATTTGAAAAGGGTCTGTAATATTTTTAGATTTTAGTACATTTCGAATATCTTCAAAGGTCGTATTTAAATGCAATAAGATTTATGAAATGGAGCGCGGCATAAAATTAAACTTGTAAAAAATATTGAGAGTCTAAATTACCAATCTTATTTTGGACATGGATTATCGGCTCAGCGGTAACTATGCTGTTACATTATGAGATATTATAAACGCAACAAGGTACATGTTTTCAAACAGTCTAACTTAAAACCCATTTCGTTTTATGATAATAAAATATTAAATATTTAAACTCTTTTAAAACAAACGCTTAGCCATGACGTGTTCTAAAAACTTACAAAATAAATTGTACTTCTTCTGTACATTTTCTGAGCTTTTCTAATGGTTTCCCCTCTACTTAAAAATTAGTAAGGAAGTTGTACTTACATATGTCAAAATCTTTAAACCACGAAAATAATGCTTCCAACTTAAGCGCATCGCTTTCGTCTTGTCAAAACTACCTGACCCAAATCTGCTGGAATTCTTAACCGACTCCGCCTCTAAAGTAAATAAACTTAATCTGGCGCATTACCTCAAATTACCAGGCCTTAAGCCCATTCCGATATAACCCCACCCTCCGCCCCGACCCAAAATTAATTACCGCCCCAGTTACAAGAACAACTGTCTTCGAAAGTGAACCACCAGCCCCGAGAGGCTAAATACCAGGCAATTTTTTAATGCAATGCAAATAAAATAGGCAAAGGATAGGCGGTCTCTTAACTTTGTTGGCACGCAAGGACACCGGAGTTGAAATCCGGCTCCTGTCGAAGGTGTTGCCGTGTGCTGGTCGTTCCACAGACAACAACTTTGCCGCAACTCCGGCAGAAAGCCGTGCAAAAACCGCTACGAATCAAGTTTTGCGGCCGGATTGTCCTTGAACCAAATACCTCCCACAAGGAAGGGAGAAGGAGGCGGAGCAGGAGGAGCACATGGCACTGACGTAAGGCCCCTGCACTCATAGAAATTTTTACCCTAAATCGCCCTAAAAAACTGACTTTTCGCCCGTGGATTTAGAAAATCGCCCATAAATTGTATCCGCTGGCGATTCGCCCGTGTATTTAGAAAAATTTTCTAAAAAATCCCTATAGAAATTTGGTTTAATTTAGGGTGATTTTTCTTGAAATAAGAAATATTTTCCTGTTTTTAGGGTGATTTGCCCTTATTTTAAGGTGTATTTTTCTAAAATTAAGGGCGAATTTTCTGTTTTTATAGGCGAATGCCCTAAAAAATTAGACAAATTAAAAAAAATCGTGTTTGAGCATGCTTAACTGAATTTGGGAAGCATGTTTTTTTTTTAATCGTCTATATTCTGGGAACTGGGACTGCTTTAATTAAACAACACCGGCGGAGGACACCGTTTCATATTATTGTATTGGTGTGTAGCTTATATGGGAGCCGCGTTAAGAGGGGGGCCCGATCTATACAGCACAGCCGTTAGAACTGAAAAATCATGTTTGTAAATGAATTAGGGAAATAAATATGAGGAGAAAAAACAACTTACTTTTTTTGGTCATTGCGAGAATCGAACCCACGACCTCTCGGTTTAGAGTCTAACGTCCTACCGCTGCACCACAGACCCATCGCGCAAGACGACGAACAAACTCTGCACACATCTTATTTTCTTGAGGTCTACGTTATAATATGACTAAAGGCAACTAAACCGTATATTTTTTTCCTTACGACTGTGACAATTAGTCCCGTTTTCTTGCCCGCAAACACAAAGTATACTTTTAACTCAGAACTCCCATACGTTTTTAAGGTTTAAAGACTACTTTAATTTAAAATTCGGACGAAAAAATGTCCTCAGTATTATGTTTAAAAAAAAAAAAAAACATAAAAATCAAGTTGAATCACACAGGGTTCGAACCCACAACCCCACGACCTTAGTCCTCATATAGCAAAGTTGAAAGCGCAAGTGATTAGACCGCTGGGCTACCGAATTTCACACTTTTGGAGTGATTTTTAAGGCAAATCGCCCTTGTATTTAGAAAAATTTTAGAAAAAAAATTAGGGCAATTCGCCGTTGGATTTAGAAAAGGTCAAAACGAAGCAAATCGAAAAAAATCGCCCTAAATATTAGAAAAATAGAAAAATTAACCCTAAAAATATTTTTTTATGGTCACCTGCCTTAAATTTATGGCAAATTTGTCGTAAAAATAGAAAATTTTTCTCAGTTCAAAGGCGAAAAATTTTTTAGGTCGATTTTCTAAAATGTAGAAAATTATTTTTATGAGTGTGGGTAACCTCAGCATAACCCAATAATCGCTCAGTCGCTCAGTCAGTGATTGTGGTGGCAGTTAACTTGATTATTTTACAAATAATTGAAAAGTTTCCCTTTTCCTCGCCATTGCGAAAATTGCACAAATTGCGCAGACAAGCAGCAGTACATCCATCAAGCAGGCTAAGACACCTCCCCACTGCCCATCTAGCAACCCCCTCGGTTGGCTTTTCCGGTCCCCTGACGTAGGAAAAGACTCTTCCCAGTGACGACAACGCCGGCGATGACACCAACACCAAACAACAGCGATGACGACGACACCCACCGCTCCATGGAACCGGAGAAAACAAACAGGTATCGTGCAAGAACATCATTCACATGACGAGGATTATTCGGTGCCGAGGAGCATATGTTTCGTTTAGAGTCGGAAAACGAGGGAAATGGCACTAGGATAAGTCGCACTTTATGCCAATTTTATGCAATAGGTTAAATAATTTTCAATTATGAAAATAGTTTTTAAAATAATAGGAAATGTTGATGTAATAAATATAAATTTATTATATTAGATTTTATTTTTTTTGATATTGCTTCTTAAGTTTGGAATTATACAGTTTTTAAAACTATCAGTTGCTTCGAATACTTATCAAACCTTCAACGATAGAAGCAAATCCCAAGAATATAGTTTTGAAGGTCATTTTTATGTCACCTAATATCGCCAGGTAACCGTTACAAACATTTATACCCATTCGACCTAACCCAACGTGAAAAGTACAAAAACTATGCTCCAAAGCGGAAACTCGAATACAACTAGAACGAAGGTATCTATAATGTCTGTTCTGATATTCGCATTTAATGGAATTTCTTGAGCTTCATTTGCTTACTTAGGAAAATATAAAAATATTTTTTGAAATTGACCAAAGAATTATTTTTGCTTTAGAAAATTGGAATATAAAATATGAAAAAAAAAATGTGTAAATATTAAAGGGCTATAAACAAAAAGATTAATCATGTGTTTTTTTTCAGAAAAGATGTTGGAATAATGGGCTTAAATTACAATGTAAATAGACAGATCCTTATGTTATTTAAGTACTAATTAAGATCCTTTATTAAATTTTCAGGTATTTAACTATTTGTAATATTAAATAAATAAAATAGAGATATTCAAATAGAATTTTAATAAAATTTCTTACATAAAAACCCCGGAACATGACTTTGAGTATCCTAGTGGAGAAGCCCGACCAAAAGCCAGAAACTAAGCCCAGGAAGCAAGTTGAGCATGTACCTATTAATAGAGTCGTTGCCGAAGTGAACTTGTGAACTTATTTCTGGCTCAATGGTTGCCAGGGAGCCCCGCGAATTAACAACCCACTCACCCAGTGGCCCAGTCCGAGTGCCAAGTGCTGCAATTCAGTCGGCTGGCGAGGCTTCCGCCATGCAGACGCGTCCGAGCAGTGAACCGCATCGCAGCCGGGATCAGGTGAGGGATGGGGATCGGGAGCGGAGTCAGCCGCAGAAATGTGCCAGTGCCACGTTGGCCAAGAAGCCAGTCACCCCGCCGTCCGCCCCACCGCCCACGCCGGCCAACAGGGTGGTGGCTCCACTGACGGTGCCCGTGATTCAGCTGACTCCCGCCCAGAGTGAGAGTCCCGCGAAGGTGGGTCTGATAGCTTCCCTAAAGGACTCCTCCACCACCACCACCGTTTCGGATAACAGCAACAAGGAGAACCAGCCAGCAAAGGTTCAAGCTATAGCCCGGATTTCCTGCCCCCTGGGCGCACCCACCAACTACGTGGCCAGACGCACCTGGATCACCACCGAGCGGATGAACGAGCTGAGGCGAAAGGCCCAGGAGGCGGCCAAGCAGAACAAGATCTTCACCATCCGGGGTTGCTTCAATTCGGTGCGGAATGCCCTGCTGACGCGGGGCTGGGTGGAGAAGCTGGACGACCACCGGAAGGTGATGCCGGCGGGACAGATGACCTACGAGGATCTAACCCAGCGGCTGCCTAAGAGAAAGGCGGGCGAAACGCGGCGGCAGTATGTGCAGAAATGCGAAAGGAACATCATGTCTCGATTTTTGGAGCACATGCCCGTCGACTTTCTGTGGACGAACCGCAAGGAGAAGTGCGACTACATAGACCAGGCCAAGAATCCCGGCATGACCATCAACAAGTTCCACCGGGCGCCGTTCACCTCCAAGGAGGGTCTCTGCAGTCAGCTGCGCGACTTCCACTGGTTCTTCGAGGAGGGCACCGCCGAGATGTACTTCCCCAGGTGCTACAACGTCTGGAGTCCCGAGGAGCTGGGCGATTTCATCGAGAACTTCAAGCTCACCGCCTGCGTCGCCTTTCTGAGGGCCATGCTCTGCAAATACCACAAGCAGGGCTCCGAGGCGGTCTTCACGTGCAGCGGCAAGATTCCCTACTCCTCGATAGACTTTGCCTACAAGCGGCTGGTGGAGTTCCTGGACAGCTGCCAGCACAACGACATCGACTTCGAGGATCCGCCCAAGATATGGGAGCACGACTGGGACGCCTTTCTGTTCCAACACCAGCAGCTGGTCAACGAGGACGGACGCATCCAGCACGACGGTGGCCAGCGGCTAGATCCCATGGTCAAGAGCTGCTTGTCACTGGTGGACAAGATGAAGATTCACTGGCCGCAGTACAGCCTGGATGGATATCAGAATCTGTGGATCGTCAAGCCGGCCAATAAGTGTCGGGGCAGGGGCATCATCCTCATGGACAACCTCAAGAAAATCCTGGGCGTAGTCAACCCGTCGATTGCCTCGAAGAGCCGCTATGTGGTCCAAAAGTACATAGGTGAGTTTACGAATAAACCAGGGATATTTTCAGAATTTTCGGAAATTTCAACTATTGGATACTAACTCTTAAAAGGTTTTTTATTCGGATATCAGAAAACCATAGGTAGTTAGTGAAACTGAGTTTGTATTTTATAAAATTGCCTAAGACCTTTACTGAAATTTCTAAGACTTTGATTAATTTCCTCTCTAGAAATATAATAGTAGACTATTTTAACCATCAACTTATTTTCTAAAATTAAACTCTCTGACACAAAACATGGTTTTTAACGGGATACCAAACTTCCATTCACCAATCGATACCGACTAAAGCATCTTAAGTGCAGACCTAAAACATTTCAAGTCCCGCTACTGAACGATATAAACAAATACACGGAAACTAGGTCGTAAATCAGGACGGTGCCAAAGTTGTTGTTCGAGCTGCTGTTTTTGTTCTATGCTCTATGTAGGCCCCGTTTTCGAGGAGCTTGAAACGTCAGTTGCGGTACCCACACGCACGCACATGGGTTCCAACACCCATACTATACTATATTCGTATATCTAAAAGTCTTTGGCTCCCAAAGCCTACATAAATGCATAAATATTTGGCCTAAAAACGCAATCATTGCTTTTGCCGCCGTCGTTGTCGTGCTCGTTTGCTGGCAGCAATCATAATTTGCTTTACGGTTTCTGTCTGCCTCGTGGATTGCAACAGGTTGGCTGGAGACCCGAGCAAAGCAATTGATTTTTAATACAACCCGAAAAGGCTTTTATTTGACCAGAATTAAGATTGTCAATTTGAAAAGGGAATTGCAAGGAAGTCCATCGGAAGAAAGTGGAATTACAATGGAACCTATTTGACTTCTTGATTTGTTGTCTTTGGGATTTATCTTTTCAGTTTCCGCCAAGTTCATTATGAATATTATTTACATTTTTAAATCGGACCAATCGGACCATTAATTAAAAAGTTATAATTTATATGAAATTTCCGATAGATGGCGACACTTTTAAGCTACTGCTTGCATATCTCCATCTCTCTCACACTCATACAGCTAAGTAATTTGATGGTATTCTCTCTTGTTAATTTTTTTTATAAAGATTTAATGAAATTCGTATGCTATTTTTGGGATTTTACTAGAACTTAAACATTTGGTTTCCGATTACTCCTACTACATCTTTATATTGTTGCAGAACGGCCCTTGATCCTGTTCCAAACTAAATTCGATATTCGTCAGTGGTTTCTCATAACCAACACGCAGGTGAGTCAACTTTCAGGAGCATCCAGCCCAGCTATTTATAATCCGCCTTACACAATCTCTAGCCCCTAGTGGTGTGGTTCTACCGGGAGAGCTACCTGCGATTCAGTTCGCAGGAGTATAGCCTGAGCAACCACCACGAATCGGTGCACTTGACCAACTATGCGATCCAGAAGAAATATACGAACGGAAAGCGGGACAAGCGGCTGCCGAGCGAGAACATGTGGGACTGCTACTCCTTCCAGGCGTATTTGCGTCAAATTGGCAAGTACAACATGTGGCTGGAGCGGATTTATCCCGGGATGCGAAAGGCCATCGTGGGCTGCATGCTGGCCTCCCAGGAGAACATGGACCGGCGACCCAACACCTTCGAGCTCTTCGGTGCCGACTTTATGATCTGCGAGAACTTCTATCCCTGGCTGATCGAGATCAACTCCAGTCCGGATTTGGGGGCGACGACCAGTGTGACGGCGCGCATGTGTCCGCAGTGTTTGGAGGATGTTGTAAAGGGTGAGTTTGTGTTTATGGGGAACTGGAGAAAGTTTGTCTTTACTTCCATACATATTTTAAGAAAATCAAAGCTCTTAAACTTTTAATTTGGAAAATATATTCATAAGGTAATACCATATTTGATCACAATGTCAGAAATCTTAGGTGACACTAAGAAAATATATTGTTTTTTCGAAACGGAATTTAAAATTTTTTTGTTTATCGACCTAGTTTTTTTTTTATGACACATAGAATTTATTACATTGATCAGCCAATTTAATGGCTATTCCAAAATTAGCATAATACATATAAAAAATATATTTTTTTATAAAATATTCTATTAAAAGGAAACAAATTAAAATAATGGTTAATAGTTAATAGTTAGGAACGTTTTCTCGTCTGTATGGTAAATTTAAAGTTAGAGTTGAGCCTTGAAAATGTATGCGAATTAAAGCATACATTAAATTTAAGATGCAGAGGGAAAAATAAAAAAACAATAAATAAAATATGTTTCAAAGCTAATAAATATTAAATATTTATTTTTCCTTTCAGTGGTCATTGACCGTCGCACGGATCCCAAGGCGGATATGGGCAACTTTGAGCTGGCCTACCGCCAGGTGGTGCCGCCCACACCTGCCTACATGGGTCTCAACCTCTTTGTCAAGGGCAAACAGGTGCTGCAGAAGGTGAGCCATGGCGGTGGTCATGGACACTACTACTACCAGCAGCAGCGGAAGGAGCGTTCGCTGGCCACCAGCAGCGTTTACCGCCAGCGATCGGCCATCATCCATCCGGCGACGAGTATTTCGCGGATCCACCGAGCCATGCCCACCTTCAATGCCACCGAATACATGGAGAAGTACATGGTGGAGCCGCTGAGCAGCAGTCGGAGCAGCCTGTGCAGCCAGCAGCCGCAGAAGTCGCCCTCGAAGGCTCCCGTTCTCACTGCCCCGCCAACGGGATCACCGAGTCCCTATATCCTCAAGCAGGCTGGCCGCTCCATTACCCAGCTGCTGAGTGCCTCCCACAAGCGAAATACGGCGGGATCTCTGCCGGGTGAACCGATTCCGAGCACCGCCCTGCCACCGAAACGTCAGCGCAGCTGTGGACCCCGTCTGAGCTCCACGAATCCCGTGGAGAGTTCGGAGAAAAAGTTCAAGATTCTTATCAAAAACTATTCGGCCGCCGGAAATGAAACGCTGCAGGATGTGCGACCGGAAGCGGCGCCGGCGATGAGCGAGCGGAAATGGCGCAGTTTGCGCAACATTGCGGCCACAACAACTGGCGGCTCCTCCAACTCGGCGTCCCGCTCCAAAGCGGCACCTTTGGTAGCTCCTCCCAGTCTGCCCACGCGCCGCTTTAGTCGCACCAAATCGGAGATCGATAGCATGCACGCCATCGGCAGGACCTTTGGCCGGAAGTCGAATGGTCCCAGGCTGCCCATCAGCATATCCGTGCAGGCTTTGCATCGAGGTGAGCCCATTGTGGCGGCTCTGAAGCAGGCCACCAGTGAGCTGCAGCTCTCCCAGGCCCAGATGATGAGTCCTCGAACCGCGCTGGCCAACAAACTGAACAGCGCCACGCTGACTGTTCCCACGCCAGCACTTCCGGTGGGCTAAGACACTGCTGAATCGAAGAAATGAATACCTATTACCTGACCTAGGAACAGATGTTCATTTACCCTGTGAATAAGCTGCCGTATCTATTTATACAAGCGAATATTTAAAGGCAACATAACTAATCTTCAAAACCGAACATAAATATAAGTGTTAATTGCTCTTTTTAAATAATGAAGATAAATGTTTGATTTTATTGTCCACTTTAAAATTAAACAAAGATTATTGAAACTTTCCAAAAGCTGAAGTTTAGTAATACTTATTTAAGCTAACTAAATTTATCTGCTTTCTTTTTGATACATTTGTTTTTAATTTTCAAGACAAGTTTATTGGAAAAATCGTTGTATAAACTAGGAGATGTTATTGTATTCTATTAAATGTTTTACCTATTCAATAAACTTTAATCGATTTGGAATTGATGATACTGTGTGTAAATGGTATTTTCGCTACCGGTTCGGACACTCTTTTTGGGATATTTTGGGGGAACCCTTTCCACATAGATTCTAAACCCATTCTGAAACGATTTTATTTTAAGTAAATTATAAGTTTTGTTAATTTAACTTACTTTTTGTATATTTTTATGTTTTCAGGCAATATTTTTTGGATCAGTCTGTTGCTCTGGGGAATAAAAACTAACTTACTAAATTTCTTTATAAATCTTGTAAAAAAAACTTACCGCTTTATTTAAATTTTTTCACATAGATACTACTAATACAGTTCTGTAAAGTCTGTTCTTCAAGAAAACAAAAATTAAATAAAAAAGATTATAACTCGTAAAGTTTACCTACTGCACTAAGTTTTACTGCAAGTCGGTGTTCCAAGTATACTTGTCCTTTGGAATTGGATCATCTTGTTTACTTAAGCTTCACTTTGGAGCCGTATATTGAAGTGCCAGGTTCTCGCGAGCTGTTGGGTTCAGAATAACCTTGGGTTCCAAGTTCTGCGATGATGGTTGGGCAGAAGCCGCACTTGAACTTCCAACTGATGCAGCAAGTTTCTTTAAAGATTTGAATACAATTTGTTTTGAAAAGTCATAAATAATATTTTATCTAACTTAACTATTAATTTCACTAAAGATGAATTAACTATTATAGATATATTTTACGACCTCTTAGTATCAAAGATTTTAAAATCCATTTGTAATTTATCTTACCTAGTTTTTTCACAATTCTACACCCAGAAAAAAAAGAACGAAAAAAATCAAGAACATTTTTCTTGATTTACGAACAATCCGTTCGCTATTTTTCGTTCATGAAAAACGAACGCCGCGGGGTCAAATCATGAACTTATTGGTAAAATTATGAACGCGTCACAGAAAAGTGTTGAGCTTTGAACGATTGTGGTCAGATTATGAACAATGGTTCTGAAATTGCGAACGCTGTTCATAAACTATTTCTTTCCCGGACCGAAAAACATGCAAGTCTAGTGCCCCGTTTGTCCGTACTTGAAAAATTGGTTCCGTGGTCCAGCTGTTAGACCGTCCGCCTTTGACATAGAGTAGCCCAGGTTCGAGCCCGCGAGAGGACGTCGTGAATCGTAAGTTTTGATAAAATATTATTTCTAATGTTAATATGTACTTCTAATAATAAATAAACTATATGACAACAACAAATTCTAAAATATAACATGTATTAAAAATAATTCAACCACTAAAAAAAAGAATATTAAATACATCTCTACCAGGCGCACAGTAAAAACAGCAAGTGGCAAGTACAGAAATCTTGTTTACTTTTGTTTTTTTTATGAACTTTTTGTTCTCAAATTGACCCCAAAATGTTCTAAAAGTGACCCCATTCGTTCGCAAAACATGCCAAATATTTTGGTAAAATTTTATGAACAAGCGTTCATGAACTGACAACAAACGGGCTTACGCACTTTTTGACCCCGTTTGGGCTTGATTTTTGAACGTTTCGAACGGATTTTTTTCTGGGTGTACCTTACCTTCTTTTTAGAGATTTTGACAGCGGAGGCCTTGACATTTTTAGCCTGAGCTTCCTTGACCTTTTCCACCTTCTTGCTCGTGGTCTTAACGTTGTTCAGAATCTTGCGCAGGAGCCGCGTCCTCGGGCTGTTCCTCATCCTGGGCATGTTCTCGAAGAGAGTCATCTGCTTGCCATTGAGTTCCAGCGGCTTGCCGTCGGCTCCCTTGTTGATGCTGTAGTTGACCTCGAAGGCCAGCTCAAAGAGTCCGGTGGGGGTGGTGGGGTTCTTTGGCAGATCGACCACCACTCGGATGCAGTCCTTCAGGACCATCGGACAGATCCTGGCCGTGATCTCGGTGGATGGCGAGAGATCCGGCGTCGAGTTGATCTCGATCAGAATGGGATTGTAGTGCTCGTCGAGCATGAAGTCACAGCCGTACAACTCGAAGGCGTTCTGCAGCAGTTCCGTCTCATCCAGACTGGCCATCACCACGGCCACCAGGTTTTGCTTGAATCCGTTGTAGGTCTTCGCCCACGTCCCATCCGGAGCGCCCATTTGGCGGAGGTAGCTCTTGAACTGGTCCAGCGACCACATGTTGTTCTTGGGCAGCCTCGGGTCCCGGTTGCTCTTGTTCTTGTACCGCTTCTGCACCGAGTTGTTGGTCAGGTGGATGGACTCGCGCAGGTCGTCCATGGTGAACTCCTGCGAGCTGAAGCGCAGATAGCAGTCGCGGTACGTCCAGATGCTCACCTTGGTGTCCGTGATGCTCAGCAGCATGTACTGCCGGATGTCGAACTTGGTGCGGTAGACCAGCAGGGGTCGTTCTGTGGAAAAAATATAAGGGTTTGGGGAAATAGTGAATAAGAACAGAGGAATTTGTATTACTCAAAATCATTTACTACTTTTATTAGTAGATTCAAACCATTTCCTACAGACTTTTACGAAAGTGCAGCAAAACGCAGTTCCGAATCTTCAAAGTATATCACTCATACGCACTGTGGCCTTCGATCAAAAAGTTATTTTAATCTAGCTGATTAGGACTTCAGCCATACATTTGATTTATTCAAACGAAATTCACACGAATTTGGATGAGAAATGAGAAAATTAAGTTCTAACTGCCATACGTGTCGTATGAGTAATTTTTAAGGAAACTTTAAGACCATTTCGCAAAACCTACATGTTTCTTAGAATAAACTTCATTTGAATTCATTTGTTGCACACATAATTCTATCATATTTAAAGGTGATGATTCAGTCTTTCAATGCTACAGAAGTCTCTTTCAACAAAATCCCAATTTGATTAAAGAACCTCTATTTATAACCCTTAACAACCCCACTCACCTATGTACTTCTGGACAATGTACTTCTTATTCTGGTTGTTGGATGTCCACTGCAGGATCTCGTCGAGGGAGCTGCGAATTACGATGCCGATGCCGCGCGACTGGTATCCCGGCTTGAGGATCCACAGGTTGCGGCTGCCGTCCCACCGATAGTCCGGTCGCAGGGATTCAATTTGGTCCAGATACATCCCCGCCAGACGGGCGTACTCCGTCATCACCTTCTCGCTTACCTTGAACTTGGCATTGGACTTGAGCACATCGGTGGACTGGACCATGAAGGTCTGGTTCTCAACGATTTCCGCCGGCGTCGGTGGCTTGATGCGGGCATCATCCAAGGAGTAGTGTTCCGCATTCCGCACCATCTTCTTCACCTTCCCGAGGGCAAAGTCCAGAGAGGTACTCGAAATGGTGCCATGCTCGCTGATCATTTCCGCCGGCTGGTGCTCCCTCACGTAGAGCAGCAGGGAGCGGGCCTGCGTCTGCTGGTAGTCCTCGATGAAGGCCATGCGCTCCTCCAGATTGTTGCCGCCCAGGCGATAGAAGCGCGGATAGCTCATGCCGCAGACGCCGTCCTCGCGATACCAGCGCTCCTGCTCGGCACAGCCCACCAGGCCGACCTTGGTGGAGAAGTCCAGGAACTGACTGCGGCGCACCCGGTTCCGGAAGGGTCGCACCTCGGCGCACAAATCACGCTGACCCTTGCCCTGCCAGATGAAGAAGGCCGGAAAGTGGTTGATCATCTTGGAGATGACCACCGCCTCGTAGTCGTTGCCCCGCCTCGCGTGCTCCAGCAGGGCATCCTCGGACATGCTCTGCAGCTTGGCGTGCCGCGAAGCTGGGAGCTTCTCCAGCCAACCCCGGCGCATCAGAGCCCGTCGCACCGTGTGGTAATTCCCGTACACCGTGAATATCCGCCGATTGCGGTACGCGTCGATCACACGGGTTCGGTAGACATTGCGCATCTGACGCTTCTGGGCATCCGGTGCCATGGGTGACATGGACGTGGTGGTTCTCGTGGTCGCATTGGAGACTCTGGCTCGGGCCAGGAGATTTTGAATGCTTTCGGGACGGTAGTGATTGGCGGTCATGCTGCTGCTGCCGCCGAAGGTCGAGGCAAAGGGACCTCCAAACGTACCGCTGTTGTTATTGTTGTGAGTGGTGAGCGGCTTCTGGACGGAGCACTGCTTGCACAGCTGGACCAGCTCCGCGTCCAGGTTGTGGATGAGCGACTGGATCTTCGAGACGGGGTTGTAGTAGCGGTTGCGATTCCCGGTGAATCCCGCCGGCGTGCTGCTCTGCGTGGTCATACTGCTAACTGCTGCTCCTGTTCTCCGCCCTCAAATCCCTTTTAGTGTCCGCCGTCTCCTTGGGGGTGTCCTTCTTGTCCAGGGACCCTGCCCTGTTCTGCCGAAAAGAGTGAGTGTTTGGTGAGAGTGGGCTAGTTGCCAAAGCCAAGGCCAATTGCTCCGCGCAATTAACGTGGAATTTTGAAGCAGGAGCCAAACAGTAGTTCCTAACAGTATCGCATGTACTAACGAAAAGTCTTGATTGACTTAAAAAACATTTCTTCGCATAGACAATAAAATTTGAGACTAAAAAGGAGAGGAAACCTTTGACGAAACGAGTGTGAAATTGAAATGAACGCATTGAAATCAGAGCTTACTATATAAAAAGTGAAAGGAAATTCCAAGTCCTAAAAAAATACCCCAACGGAACCCGCTTAAAGAATATATCAATATCGCTTGTTTCCTTTTTTTTGTAATAAATTTTAATTTGTAGTTATATTTTCTTCATTTGTTTTTGTGGTTTGCTGGTTTCCTTTTTTCAAATATATATGGTACATATAAAAAACTCCTAACCGGAATTTTTACCTAATTTGCTTGTATTGCATTCAATTTTCATGTTCACAATATTGTATAAATATATTTACATATGTGTGTATGGTAATCAACTTTATATTTAGGTTATGCATTTAGTTTAGTTACGCTCATTTTTTAAACTTCCCCTTGCGGAATTTTCAACAAAAGTCAACAATTAAACCAATCCTTGTTCAAATTAACTTAGATATTGGGGATTAGTAGTTAGTCAATTAAGGTTACACATCATAAATATTTGCTTTACTTCTGGTTTTACTTAGATAATGCTACAGTTACATACATAAATAAGTTTTCAGTTTTTAGAGCTTTTATAAGTTTCTTTACGCATTTCTTTTTTTTGTTTTGTTTTGTTTTTTTAATTTTGCTAATACAGTTGAAATAATTTCATTAAGTATTCTCTTGTTGTTAGTATTTTTATAATATATATTTTAGTTTTATAAATTAGTTAGTTAGTTTTATAAATTTCTATTTCAACTTAAGGACAAGCGTTAGTTGCAATTTTGGTTTGTCGTACAAATAAGTAAAAACTTAAACTTAGTGTACAGAAGACCCCAGAACCAACATTTCAGATGCTGTGGATGTTTTCTTGTGTACGTGTTGCTATGTGGCAGTTTGTGTGCTTTAACATATATATATGGGGACAAGTAAGTACATGCGAAACTTAAATAGAGTGGTTAGTATCAAGGGGGATTTCAACAGATTAGAAAGACTTGATTCATAAATGAACTGGCCGCGCTTGCAACTAAGTATCCACGTCAACGAATTTCGAAAAGGATTTGGATTTTTATGTTTTGAAAAACAATGGATATGCTTTTAGATTTTGTGAGTAGATCGTTAAAAATATTTTGAAGATTTTATTCGCTATTGAAGATTGAATTTCCTCAAGCCAATGAGCAAAGAAATTCTTTTTATTAGGGGCTTAAGCAAAGGCTAATATTTGAGTTTTGGTGTAGGTTTAGATCGCCTTTAAAGCTTTTTCGATTACTAAATGATCTCGTATATATAAGTATGTAAATAGTTGATTTCAATGGGCGCTTGCGACTTCTACACATCCCTTCCCCTTCGTTCACTTCACATTTAATACTTTCTTGTTAGTTACACGTATGCTTCATAATGTTTAATAATTAGATTTATTATAATGTATAAATCGTATATATATGCAGCTGTTACTCTATATATGTATGCCTGATTGTTGTGCATGTTGTTCAGTTTATAAACTCAATCGGAACGCCGTCTCTGCCTTCTACAAAAAGCCTAAACAGAAACACGATAATGTCATTTGTAAAGCGTATGTTAGTTGGTTTAATTTAAAAGAAAATTAATATTGGATTAAATTAAAAACTGTACAAAATGCCATAAAAATTATATAACAAACAAGTTTGGTCACGAATTTGGTTCGAAGCACGCCGTCATTTCTGTCCACCTCTGCATCATCTAAAACAAAATACTGTTAGTCTATTGCAAGCCCAATTACACTATATAAAAAAATACAATAATAATTTTACAATCGAAAACTGATTAGCTTCTAAAACTTGTACACGCCCGGCAGCGGCAGCGACTTGGCGCCAATGCAACTACGTATGTCCTATGTAGAGTATGTGCTATGTCTTGTATACATTGTCTTGTTATGGATTATGTGACTATGCGTGTATTTATATATATATTAAATATGTGGATTAGACGTGCATCATGCTGGGGAGTCTCTTGCGTTGCGTCTTTCTTGTTAGAGTTATTTGTGGCTTAGTTGCTGCTAGCATTTAAATCCCTCTCTTTTTTAGTTCTGCTTGTATGCTGTTACTGTTGCGGTTTAGGAAACGTTGCCCATGGTCTTTACGTTCTTATTGTTGTAGGTTGCTTATGCTGTCTGTTGTCTATGTCCTGCCCTCCAGCTGGTGCTCACTCATCCACCGAAGAAGTGGGCGGACTGTAGCTGCATCAGGAAGCGCTGCGCTGCTCGTTCTCCGGCCTGCGATCTGTGGCGATCTGCAGCAGATTGTTGAACTCCGTGTCAAGGATTTGACGAGCCTATACAATAAGATTAAATTTACTTATTTGAATTAAGATAGAGGGTTCGTCTGGTTAACCTGAGCATTTTGTGTGGGTATTTGGAGGGCCAAACCCATGGCGGTGGCATCGAAACCCTCGTCCAGGGCCATCAGTCCCCCATGCACTCCCGATTCGAGCAAGTTGTTGGCATATTCCTGTAAGCAGTAAAGTATATTTGATGCTTAAGATTCTCCCATGAATCACCTAGAAATACTCACCTTCAATCCGATACTGCCCACCCACCGTATGACTCGGTCGTTGCTCCAAACCAGCACGTCGCACAGACCGTTTTCACTCATCTTGCGCCTGTGCTCCAGCTCCGTGCGATCGTAGTTAAGGCGCTTGAGCATCGATATGCCATACTGCAGGCTGGTCCGATGGAAGCTGTCCACCATTTTGAGCTGACCCCGCAAGTCCTTCTTGGTGAGGTGGTCCAGCATGCGGGCATCCACCAGACACTCCATAAAGGTTGTGCGATATTGCGGCAGGCCGAGGCCGGGCAACCAGTAGTTGCCAATCCACTCGTGGTTCATATCGCCTAAGGGACAAATAATTAACCACTGATTCTAGCATTTTAATAAGCATTATCTTACCAAACGCCAGAGTGGTCCGTGAGGTTTGTGGTGCCGAGGGAGAGGTTAGTGAAACCATTTCCTGAATGGCCAGGCGAAGCTTCAACCGGTGCAGAGGATTGCTGATGCCTGTAAAGGGAAAAAGGTTACCCAGCGAAAGCAATAAAGACATCCAGGTTGCATACCGATCTCCCGCTGAATTTCCGTGTCGCTCAACGCACTCATAATGGCCCCGGATTTGACATTGGCCCGACAAGCGGCCACATACCAGGCGGGCATGCCCACCCACAGCTCAAGCCAGGCGACTATGGTGGGGCCGTTCCACAGGGCAAATGGAGTGCCCGCTTTCATGGCCTCGCCCAGCAAGTCATTGCGATAGTCGTGCTCCCTGGAAGTACAAGAAAAAGGTTATAATACATTCCCATATTAAATGTAATACTCACTTTTTCTGTCTGCCATAGTCAACGCTGCTTATTTTGGATCCCTGGGAGCTGGCAATGCGGGGCATCATGCCACCAGTCATGCTCATGGCATCATAGTTTGAGTCCACCTCGCTCAATCCGATCGACAGGTTGCCAATGGACATCATGCTGGGCGATCCATCGGGCAGCGTGTCCTTCACGCCCTTAACCTTCTCCTTTTTGCTAAAGAACCGGCCCAACGAGGACTTGATGCCCTTCTTCTTCTGCACAGCAGCGGCTGCAGCTTCCCTGGAAACGCCCGAAGTGGGCGTCTGCAGCATGGACATGGAGCCCATGGTGTTGTAGTGACGCAGTGACTCTTGGCTGCCGTAACGAGAGCTCAGCGGCGACAATCCGTAGCTGTGGCTGCTCATCGCCATGTGACCGCCACCGTGATTGGGCGCCACCGGGGCACTGGGATTGAGGCCAATCGAACGTCGCCTCAGCTCCTCCTGGCTGTGGGCCAAGGCCTGGGCCACGCGCTCCAGGCGCATGGAGCGAGCGGTGAGTGGAGAGGCAGCTCCGCCGGAGCTCGAGTCACCAGTGGTGGACATGCCGCCATGGAGCTCTTCGCGGGAGGCGTCACTGGACAGCACGGGCAAGTTGAGCTGTCAGGGGAAGCAAAAAAATCCTTAACAACAATTATGTGTTAGTTTAAAAAAAAAAAAATCGAATGGTCCGCGCATTCTTCAGGTCAAGAGAATCCACGAATTCTTAAGATCAAATGATTCACGAATTCCTTATTCATCAGGTCAATTGATTCACGAATTCTTCTGGTAAAATAATACGCGAATTCTTTAGGTCACGAGAATCCACGAATTCTTAACGTCAAATGATTCTGATATTGTTTAAGTCGAATAATCCGCGAATTCTTCAGGTCAAATAATCCGCGAATTCTTCAGGTCAAATAATCCGCGAGTTCTTCAGGTTAAGATAGTCTACGAATTAATAAATTTAAATGATTCTAATATTGTTTAAGTACAATAATCCGCGAATTCTTCAGGTAAAGTAGTACGCGAATTTTTGCAGCTAAAATAATACGCGAATTCTTTAGGTCAAATGAATCGCGAATAGTGAAAACAGTGATATACATTAGTAATTTCACCCACTCACCGTATGATACTTCTGCATGAAATCCCGTTGAGGACTGTTCGGGGTGCTCCGGCCGCTCATGGGTGGACTCTGTCGGTCCATGGAGCGTCCACGGGACAGCAGGTTCACGTGCTCTAGGCTGCCCACACGCGACTCCAGCTCCTCGGCGCGCGCCTCCGTCGACTGTTTCTCTTCCTGAATCAGGCGAATCTCATTGTTGATGGCGTCCAGCTGCTCCTGCAGCATCATGGCCAAGGTCTGGGCATCCGTGTGACCAGACGGCGACATCATGTCCGCCGTGGCCGCCGCGTACAGGACATCCGCTTCGTCGCAATCCGCAGCACTGGCCACCAGCTCGTAGGCCTGCTGCTGGGCGTGCGCTGCCTGCTGCAGCTTCTCCCACTCCTGCTCGGCCATGGAGCGAACCAGGGCGTTCTCCTCGGACAGTCGCTGTTTGCTCTGGCGCCGCAGCGAGTGCGTCTCAAAGCTGGCGTGCGAGTTGCTCCGGCTGAAGGCGCCGCTGGGATCCACCACGCTGCTCGGCGAGAGGCTACGGGTGAGCGCCTCTGTCTGCTGGATGTTGTAGGC